GTGGCGCAAGCAGCTGTGTACTCGGGACTTCCTGGGGTGAAGAGAATTCTGTAAAGCCTTCCAAAGACATGACTTCTTGTCCTGTTGCTCTTTCCCTGTTCCTGCGAATGCAGCGGATGGGTGCTCTGGTGGCTGGTCCGGCACAGCTGCCAAGGGGCTCTCCTCCCACCTTCCAGCTGTGTGCCTGGGCTCTGCAGCCCTCACCACGTGGCTGAGATGAAAGCAAACACACAGAACACGTTGCTGCTGCTGTGGCGTAAAAGACCTCTCTGAAAGACTGATACGCTCTTGCTGGAAAGCAGGCTGATCTGTGTGGTGGGGTGGATTTCAAGGAGCTAATCTGAAGTAATTAAAATGAGATGTATTTATAGAGCAGCCTGGGTGTTTTCATCTATCTTTGTTTTTCCATCAGAAACAAAACAGTACAATGTACTGAATTCTTGCCCTTCAGCTTCGTTTCCTTACTGCGCTGTACAAACACAGTGTACTGGGGAGAGGGTGGACCTCCAAAGGCACCCTGCCTGATTTGGAAGCAGGAACCACAAAGGCTTTTTTCCACGTGCCAGAGCTGCAGACTGTGGGCTTTTACTACCTGTCTTCAGGGCAACATTAGCTTTCATTTTCTGTGTGCAATCCACTGAAAACTAATGTGTTTGTTGCAGTGGTGATGGGGTAAGCTCTATAAAACAGCAGGCTGGTGGAGAACGTAATTAAGTTTTACATTCTCAGTACTGATTATAAAGTCCACAGCTTGTTGAAACTGTGATCCAGTACAATATTTGACCTGGTAAATCTCTAACCTGTGGGAGCTGGAGGCCTGTGCTGGAAGGCTGGTGACAGATCTCTGTGTGCCAGTGACACCAGTGCTGCAGAGCAATTCCTGTGCCAGCAGAGCACGGGAACTGGGGTTCACTGCTTGAACTGTGGTCCTGTCTGCATGTTTGTGGCTCAGAATGGCCAGGAAAATCTTCATGAATTGGCTGCTAACAGTGTCTCTTAGGGCCTTATTTTGCTGTCTGGGATCTGCCTCTTTCTCTCTCTCCGTGCTGCCTGTCTTAATTTTCACTCTCTCATTGCTGCGCCTTCTCTGCTCGCTGATCTTGCAGTCCTGCAGCGTGTTTCTGTGCCTTCCACTCCGTGTTCAGTGGCATCTGCATTTGGCCCTGGATGACGACTCTCCAGCAGGCCCAGGATGTTTGCGTTTCTGGCTCTGCGTACACGCGGTACTGACCTCTCAGCATTGTTCCGAGCCGCATTTGCTGAGTGTAACCTTGCTGTCCTTGAGTGGGTCTGTGTTCTTAATTAAATTTACTCCCTTCTTAGGAAATGGCTGATGTGACATTAGATAAGTCTAAAACAAGCCCTTTTCTTTCCAAAGCTCTCCTGGCAGTCATTCGTGGCTTTTCATCGGTTTCCTAAATCACTTGCTTAGTGAGGTGAGGAGGAAGAGTGTGCTTCCCCCTTGTCCCGTCCTGGGACAGGCAGCTGCTCGTGTTCTCTGCTGGTTTGCTGGGGCTGTGCATTCAGCAGAGATGAGGTGCACAGAACCACTGCTTTATGTTGGGGTTACCTGGCTGCCCCTGGGTATAGGAGGGCTGTGGGGCTGCATGAGCAGCTCACCGGTACAGCTATGCTGAGTGCTTGTTTGCTGTTCCCTGTTTATACAACGGTGACAATGGCAAGCTGTAGCTTATGGTAAAAACAAAGACTTTATACCGTCCTCTGAAACTGTCGTTCCTATCTTTATTCGCTGCTTTATAGCACTTAGTGATGTCATCACAAGATCGGGACGCCAGAGCATTGCATTGCTCAGAGGTGCTTACGTGAGAGCTACGCTGGGTTGGAAGCCCTGGGGTGCTGGGTAGATCTGAAGGAGATGTAATTAAACTCTAAAGATGGCCTCCAACTATGACTTTCCCTGTACCCAGGGCAGTTCCTCCCTGTGTTCAGTGTGCATGATATCAGGGCTATAGATAATGCCAGAACAAGGCAAAGAACAGGAGATGTGTTCGTTGCCATGCACAACAGATACTGTCTCAGGCAGCCTCCCCTGTGAGCTGCTGATGCAGACAGGGAGTTGTGGTCTGCACTGCTGCAGAGAGTGCCCTGAGTTCCATCAGCAATGCTGCCCAGAGCCTTGCAGAGCAAATTCTGCATCCCAGGGCCGGGAAGTAGCAGCAGCCAATCCATGTGACTTCAGCAGATTGTGGGGCCGTGGCAGTGGAGCCATGCGGGTCCCCATCTCTGGGCTTTGAGGTCACAGCCAACGTCTGGATGTGCTGATTAGGGCTCATGGGCTGGGGCAAGGTGGAGCATGGGGGGCTGGTGCTGAGATAAGGTGCTATCGGGCTGTGCACATTTGGGTTCTGGTGTTTGTGGGAGGGAACAAGTTGAGAGGGTATTTAATTTCATGCAGCTAGTTAGAAGCAAGAGTTGCTTCAGGTTGATAAATTTATGAGTTGGGATGAATGTGCATGCAGGTCAGATCTGTGACTCTGGGCTAAGGAAATCCTCAGCAGTTATCTGCCTGGGGCTGCAGCTGCTGAGGTTGCAGTGCTGTCTCTTCCTGCGGGTCTGTGCCATAGGGTATGGGGCACACTGAGCTGAAAAGGAGGTCCCTGCAGGTGTGGGGTGCTGAAGCCAACAGGAAACATTCCCTCCAGCACTCCTTCTCTCAGCCCCTCCTGGGGGGCTGCTCAGCTCCTGCTACAGCCCTGCAGGCACACACTACATTTGGCCCCAGCCCCTCTGTTATCCCATCCTGAGTTTTGGGCTCGGAACAGAGAAATTCTGGCACATCTTGCTGGAATTGTTCTTTAATGAGCGATCTAATCCTGAGCAGAGAGATTGCAGTCCCCTGCTCTTTTCCCAGCAGCCAAATGCACGTGGAAATGCTGAATGGCCTGACTGCAGCAGCTGCCCAAAGCACAGGCCTGGCACCAACACCCGGAGCCAGGAGAAATGTCACCCTGATAACGTGCAGGAGCTGCATGTGTTTGCTGAGCACTGAGAAGGGGCTGACTGTGGACGGGAACCTCCTGCTTTCAGCACTGGCCCAGCTGCAGCGTGGTGTCCTGGGATGTGTTGGAGGGCACTTGCACCTCTTTGCAAGGTCACCTGCTACTGCTCAGCCCATGGTGCTCCTGCAGCTGCAGGGAAGAGGAAATGCTTCCAATGCTCATTGCAGAGGTGTGGGAGGAAAATATAAAGGCAGCCTCGTGCCCAATTTCCTCTCTGCAGGAGCCTCACCTGGGACGCTCATTCCCTGCTCCTCTGGGACATTTCAAGGCATCTCATTTCATGATGAAAACGCAATAAAGGGACATGACCGTACTGGAAATGAGACCAAGAGCCCTGCCTGGCTCTGCATGTTGTACCCTTGCTGAAGAGCACAGGCTGCCTGCCAGCCTTGGCCGCATCCCAGTGACCTGGCAGGGCCTGGACTGGGGCTGGAAGCACTTCAGGGCTGCACCGCTTGCTGGGCCTGAGAAACACTGGGCACAGTTCAGGACCGTCGCTGGGTATGGTGCATCTGAACTGTAGGTGTTGTTTGGTGGAATTGAATCATATTTTACAACACAAAAGCCTCCCATACCAGGTACGGTGCAGTGCTGCCCGTGGCAGCCCATCTGCCATCCTTGGCAGCCATTGCTGGAAAGATGCTGCTGCCTGGCACGGGGTATGTGCACCAAGCACATCCTGCAGCCTCCAGGGTGTGTTCTCCCAGAAAGGGGCCCTGGATACACTCTTGCGTGCAAGGCTGGATCAGAGTGCAATCACTGCTTTCTGCCAGCCTGTACTGCAAGAGTGTTCTGCAAGCGTGTGGAGATGCAGACCAATTTTCCCTTCCTGGAGATTTCATCCAGTCCTCTTCCTAGGTGAACAGGGCTGAGTGGACCGGGCACTGTGCAGGTACAGAGGTCTGCCTGTGAGCAGTGGGCTGTGCAGCCTGCCCAGGACTTCTGTGGAAACATTTCAATAGATGCTTCTCCATGCATCCAGCTGGACTGGGGGATTTGCGTAGCTGTGGGTGAGAGCAGCTGGATCCTGCATGCACCGTGTTTGATGCACCATGTTTGCACTTTAAATCTGCGCAAAGGACATGGCTGTGTTAACATTTCAGTCCTCCCCTTAATGTTTCCTGTATTGCTGAGTAGAAACAATCTGACCTTAGGGAAAAGAAATTAACACAAGAATCGATTGCTTTGTATTTTGTGTAAACAACTTTACAGGGTAGAACAACCTCATCATTTACACTGTAGAGACAACAAGCTTTTGTGCAGGCTCCTAGTGAGCGTGCAGCTGAAGGACACATGCATATTTTATATTTGTGTGACCCTCATTTCAGGAGCGCACCCAGTAGTAAACCCTGAGAGCAACGGGCTGTCTCGGAGTGCGGGATTCAATAGCACGGCAGTGCCCAGGACGGGAGAAGCTTCAGACACAGGCACTGCTCTGAAACTTCACAGCTACAGCTCTGAGAGCGGCTGAAGCAAACACTTCCCCACAGTCCGATTTGGCCCTGCATCATCTGGCCCGGTTTGCTCATGGCCACCCTGCGTGGACCCATCGCTGCTGGAGCGAGGGAGGGTGGGATCACCCCAGCCCTGCCCAGATACGGGGTTTGGGGTCGAGGTGGGCACTGTCCGGGGGAGCGCCTGGGGCTGGCGGTGAGCGGTGCCCGTCCCACTGCTCGCTCCGCTGTCCGTTCTGGTGCCCGGTGCCCACCCCAGGACCTGATGCCTCTCGGCGCACAGCGCACACCCAGGTGAGCGTCCCGGTGCTCTCTCTGATGCTTGGCCCCGTGCCTACGCCAGCGCTCGCTCCGGTTCCCTTGACGCTGCCAATGCCCACCCGGTGCCCTTCCTGGTGCCGGAGCCGCCTGAGCAGCGGGGTCTGGGGGGCGGTGGCCTCGCGGAGGCGGCGCCGTGCCGGGGAGGGTCTGGTGCCGCTGGGCGTGGCCACGCCGGTGCCGGGGCCCGTGCCGGGGCTCGGGGCGCTCCTGTTTGCAGGGCGGCGGTGCGGGGTGCGAAGCTGCGGGAGTCGATGCTGACCGTCGAACTCGCCGCCGCTGGAACCATGTCCCAGCCCGAGGCGGAGCGGGCAGGCGGCGGCTCCGCGGTGGAGCCGGGGCTCCCCGGTAGAGCACCGCACCGTAACCGCGGCCGGAGGCCCTCGGGACGAGACTCCCGCCGCGCTTCCTCCCGCTTCAACCGGCGGAGTTCGGTGGAACTGGAGCTGCTGGGCTACCCGGGGCCGAGCGTGGGGTCACTGCCGCCGCCGGGCACCGCGGCTCACCGTGAGCCGGAGGAGACGGAGAGCGAGGAGGTGGAGACGCGCGCCGTGGCCACTTCTCCCGACGGCCGATTCCTCAAGTTCGACATCGAGATTGGCCGGGGCTCCTTCAAAACCGTCTACAAGGGGCTGGACACGGAGACAACAGTGGAGGTGGCGTGGTGCGAGCTGCAGGTACGAGGGCAGGGTGCGCACCTGCGGCACGGCACGGCACGGCACGGCACAGCTTGGAATGGCACAGCCCGGGTAGGGGGACTCAGGGAGGCAGGGACCCCCGGTGCCCCCGCAACGCACTCAGCACTCTCTGCTGCAGCAGTGGGGCCAGAAACGTGGGGGAGGTTTGGACTCCTCGTGCGCTATCGCTGCCCCGGGACTCGGCTCCGTGCTCGGCTCCGTGCTCATCGGCCCTCCCACCGTCGCACGCTGTTTTCCCGTTGCTGTGTTACTGCCTGAGCTACAGAGCAGTCAGAGCGCTCATGGAGTGCCTGCAGCCCCTGCCCGCAGCGCCAGCCCTGCTTGGGGGAAAATCTGTGCTGCACCCCACTACTTTTTGGGTGTTCATTAGCTCACAGATCGCCCTTTGGAAGGGCAGACCATAGGGGAGCTGTCTCAGTGCCGGAGCTGGCTTGGAGGTGTGCTTCGATAGCTCTCAGAATGCTCTGGGGCACGTGCTCCAGGTAGCCGGGGGCTGGGTGCGAAAAGGTTCGGGGTACGGCATGTCCTTACTGCTTGTCAGCTGCTTGTCCTTGGTTGAAGTGGTGCCTGTGGGCCACCCACATGTGGTTTCTATGATGCTTCCAGGTGCTGACTGCTAACAGCATCTGGACCTATGGCTTCCCATGTGTCTCAGCTTCCCCATCTCCTCCCCCACTGCTCCCCAACAGCAGGATGCGATGCTAGGCAGCTGAGGACAGTGGTAGAGGTACTGCTCCTGTGATGCCTCCTCCCCTTCTGCACATGCTGGGAGCAATCCTGCCTGTGGCAGTAAGGCTGCGCGAGCAGAGCCCGGTAGTGGGGCTCCAGATTTCTCCTTGCAGCCCCCAGGGAGGGGCTTTGGTGAAGTCCAAAGTCTCCAACAGATTCTTGCCCCAGGGGTGGCTGCTGCAGCCGGAAGGTCCAAGTCCTTGTTTACAGAGAAAAACATGTCTTGCAAGTTTGTTGTCTTGTTCCTAAAGCCTTGGTGCGGCCGCATGGGATGGCTGAAGCCCAGTAATGCAAGAAGAGATCCTTTAGATAATGGTGCATGACTTTGGAGGGGTGACTACAGCCTGTGAGAGGAGGATGTGGTTCTCCTCAGTATTGTGAGATGGGGCGACTGCTTCAGAGAGCCCAGAGCCACTCAGCACTCCTCTTTTTCTATGCCCGCATTCCCTTGTAGCTCCTGGGTGTGCCCTGCAGTGCCAGAAGCCACAGCTCTGTGCTGGTGAGGGCAGCATCTCTGGTGGAAGTGACTTCCTCCAGAAGAGCCACTCATGCCCTGCGCATCCCACCTGGCTGCCTCATGACCCTGCATGCCCAGCCTGTGTGCCCCACTGTGCCGCAGTCACAGCCATGCCAGATCCCGGAGCTAACAGCACAGCTTGGTACTTGAGTGCTCTGTACTGGGCTGTGTCCCCTTGCGTGCCCAGTGTCCCTAACCAGGGTGTCTGTGGGGATTGGACTGCAGTCCCCAGCACCTGCCCTGCAGCAGGGGCTCTGCCTGTGTTCTGAGTTCTGCTTGCAGCTGGGCTGGCACCGTGTGCCAGTGACATTCAGGTCCCTGGGGATGAGAGCAACACCCTCTGGCTGGAGCAAAGACAGCTCCAAAGTGGCCCCCTCTGCTCTTTATTCAGTGTATCTCGTCCCCAAGTGCACATCCAATGAAAGTCTGGCAGCACATAAGCTGTCAAAGCTTGTTTTTTTTCAGCAATCGTGCAAAGAATCAGACACTGTGACACAAATACAGGATTTGGAACCGCAAATAAAAATGGTTGTGGTTCTGCCCTTTTAAAAATAGCTTTGTCCCTTGTCTTTCACAATTCTCCTTTTATTGCCTTTAAAATATAAATGAACACCTAACCTCAGCCCTGAATGCAGTTCCGGTCCCAGGAGCCTCATCCAGCCGCCGTGGTGCCTCCCAGACCCAAATCCCGGCTCTTGTCCCAGCCCTGCCTCACCGCCAGGTTGCCCAGTGCCTTTTCTCTGCCTTCCTGTAAGACCCCCTGGGGACCTCTTTGTCCCCGCTGCCCACAGCCTGTGCAGTGCTGTCTGTCCCTGCATCCCACAGACCCGCCGTGACCTGTTTATGCTTTCCAGCTTTAGATTTGAGACTATTTCTGTTAGATGCTGAGAGTTGGGGAAAGGGAGGAAACAGGGAGGAAACCAGAGGCCCAGAGTGGGATTAGCTGTAAATATGTTGCCAATGCATAGTTTTTCAGTGGGGACCCTTCTGGAGGGTTGCAGGAGCCGCCCCATGTGGTTGGTGCTGCCATGCCACCAGAAATCTGCCCTGGATCCTATGCTGGTGGGAGGCTGAGAGCTGAGTGGGGGTTGCTTGACGGGGATCTGGGGGTTTGGGAATGGAGCAGGTGCTTGTGCTCGTGCAGGATCACTGGGAGAAGAAGGGGGTGCTCTTGGATTCCTGTGTGGATGCAGGGGCTGCGTCTTCAGGGCTTTGAGTGCCCAGCACCTGAACCATTCCCACTGAGCACCTCTGCAGATATCCCTGGGTGCCCCCCTTCCTGGATGTGACTCTCAGCTCTGCCCAATGTGGTCTTTCACTGATTGATGCTGCTGGGACCCTCTGGCTGAGGTGAGCAGCACAGGAGTGCCATGGGCACTGCTCCAGCTGGGCATTGCCTCACACTTCAGTGAACCTCTGCACCTTCCTCCTCACCTCCATCTGTCCCCAGCTCTGCAGTTAGCCCTGTTGGGCATGCTAACAGCCATCTCCTGGCCCTGGGACAGGGCAGGACCGTTTCCCCAGCACTCCACTGCCACCCCCAGCGTCCTCCTCTTCCTCATCAGGAGGTGTCTGCTAGGAAAGAGCACTATGTCCCAGGCCGACAGCTCTGCTGGCAGCCCCAGCTGTACACTGTGTGCTGCCCTGCACTGCAATCCCAGTCTGAGTGGCTCCTGTGTGGCAGGGACCGTGTTGGGCACTGCTCCTCGTGCATGGCAGGGCAGGGCAGAGCCCTTGGGGTGCCTGGTTCCCTCTTTGGAATGGTGCTGGGGGCAAATCCATCACAGGCTTGAGGGAAGAGTGGGGCTCCCTTGAGCCTTGCTTCAGGCTCTCTGTGGGACATGTCTGCATGCCATCTTGGTCCCCCCTCATCGGACTCAGGGAGCCACAGTGACAGTCCTTGAGTCCTGGCCACAGCCTGCACGGCTGCCCCTTGCCCTGCAGCTCCATGGGGTGCAGCTGAGCCCCTGAGCTCCTTGCAGCTCTCCTGTTGGATGGTGGTGGGCTGGGGGGGCAGAGTGTGTGCTGGTCGGCTCGGGGGCCTTGGGCGCTGTTTTCCTCTCTGGCTATGAAAGATCCCATTCATCCACTGTAGCAAGGCTCAAGTTCTCCTCTGGGCTGAGCTGGGTCCCTGAGCATGTATTAAAGAAGAGAGGGGATTATGAAGCAGCTCCAGCCCAGCCGTGGGGCCAGTTATGATGCAATGAAAATATTACAAAAGCTGCCTTGGCTGTTGGATGGTGGCTGCCAGCCAAGGAACCGTGCATGGGGCGGGCAGCACCCGGCAATGGGGGCACCTCATAAACACTGTTGGCACTGCAGCCACCTGGGCTCTTGGGACTCTGTGCCAGCTCCTGGGATCTGTGCTCCTCGGTCCCTTTGGCTCTATGCTGAGTCGTTGCACCAGGGCGGTGCTGTCGGGTGCAGGGTGAGAGGCAAGATCTTGCTCCTTCTTCATCCCCCGTTCTGCTGTAGAGGGCTGCGTCCTCCCTGCAGCCCTGCTCAGTGCCTGTGTCAGTGCTCTTTGGCTTCCACTTTAATTAACTCTAGCTGGAGGAACATGGAAAAACCTGGGCTGGAGCCTCCCACGCCTGCTTTCCCCAACAAAGGCCTCATTGAAGAGGGCCGGCTCCCTGCCATGAAGGTGCCCAGTGCCTGAAGCTGCTGTGTGCAGTGGAGGCAGGAGCTGCCCAGGATAGGGGCAGATGGGTCTGCACGAGGCAGACCAACGGGTTGAGCACTTGGCAGTGTGGGGCTTGCAATGCCCATTCTGGCAGTGGGCACCATAGGGGAGCCAAGCGCAATGGCTGCGGGGCTGGGCAGGGTGGGTTTCACATGGGCAACTCGGCACAGGGGGATCTTCAGCCATCCCTCCCCAGCCTAACGGGCAAGGCAAGCGGCTCCATTGAGCCATGCGTTAGGCTGAGCGCAGGGAGGGGGGTGGGATGTGGCAGCCCCACAGCCCCGTGCCCCATCTCACTACCCACTGCCCCCGCAGACACGGAAGCTGTCCAAGACAGAGCGGCAGCGCTTCAGTGAGGAGGTGGAGATGCTGAAGGGGCTGCAGCATCCCAACATTGTTCGCTTCTACGACTCCTGGAAGTCATCTGTCAAAGGGCAGATCTGCATTGTGCTGGTCACTGAGCTAATGACATCTGGCACCCTTAAGACGTGAGTGGGGGCTGCTGGATTGGAGCGTGCAGGGAAAGAGAGGTGGGGGAGGGCTCTGCTTGGAGTGATGGCCAGCACATGGACTGGGGGGCCCCAGGGAGTCACATGGCAGTGCTCACCCCTGGCTCCCACTGCACTCCTGGCACCGGCAGCTTGGCTCGGATTTGGCGTTTTCTGTGTTGCCTTTGCAGAACTTGCCTGGGGAGGGGGCACAGGGAGCCCCCGGCTGCTGCATGCCCTTTACAGCTCAGTGGTGGTGGTGGGATTGTGGTCAGGCATGGGGCATGGCGCTGCATCAGTGCCTGTGGAGTGCTCTGGTGCCAGCCCTGTCCCCTCGCAGCTATCTGAAGCGGTTCAAGGAGATGAAGCTGAAAGTACTGCAGCGCTGGAGCCGTCAGATTCTCAAAGGGCTGCACTTCCTGCACACTCGCTCACCCCCCATCATCCACCGTGACCTCAAGTGCGACAACATCTTCATCACCGGCCCCACCGGCTCCGTCAAGATCGGGGACCTGGGGCTGGCCACGCTCAAGCGTGCCTCCTTTGCCAAGAGCGTGATAGGTGGGATGGGGGCCTGGGGGACGTGGAGGCACATGTGGGAACAGGCGCATTGCTGAGCCATGCTATGTGCCCCCAGGAACCCCTGAATTCATGGCTCCAGAGATGTATGAGGAGAAGTACGATGAAGCGGTGGATGTGTACGCCTTCGGGATGTGCATGCTGGAGATGGCCACCTCGGAGTACCCCTACTCGGAGTGCCAGAACGCTGCCCAGATCTACCGCAAGGTCACCTCAGTGAGTGCCTCAGGGCTGGAGGAAGGGGCAGTGTGGTGGGAGCTGCTGGACCTTGCTGCTCCTGAGGTACTCCACTTGGCAGGTTATGCAAGAAGCTAAAATTAGGCTGGGAGGTGAGAGGGTGCTCAGCTCTGCAAACTTTGCCAGAGCCAGCAGAGGGTAGAGACGCCCATGTGCCTCACCCCGTGCACTCATAGGGTGGAACGGAGCTGCTTGGCTGCTCTGTCCCCAGGGCATCGTGGCTGCCCCGGCAAGATCCAGCCAGCTCCTGCCTTCTGGGCTGGAGGCCCAGTGCTGGATCCAGCTGTCAAGCAGGGTCTGGCCCCACAGGGCACTGTCTTAGGGTCACCACAGCACCCTGCAGCTGCAGCTCGGAGGTTTCCTGATGGGTGCTGTCTCCTCCTGCCCAGGGCCTGAAGCCCAGCAGCTTCTACAAGGTGAAGGTGCCTGAGTTGAAGGAGATCATCGAGGGCTGCATTCGCATGGATAAGGACGAAAGGTGTGAGAGACTGGGAGAGGACACGGTGCTGCAGAACCCTGCCCTGAGTGTCTGCACCCCTGAGTGCACCCACACACAGTCCCTCTGCCCTATCCCTTGCTGCCACCCAGAGCAATGCGCTGTGAGCCCACACTGAGCAGCGCTTTCCTCCAGATACACCATCCAGGACCTGCTGGAGCACTCCTTCTTCCAGGAGGACACAGGGGTGCATGTGGAGCTGGCTGAGGAGGATGATGGCATTAAGTCAGGGCTCAAGCTGTGGCTGCGGATGGATGACACAAAGAAGCTGCATGGCAAGTACAAGGACAACAATGCCATCGAGTTTCTCTTCGAGCTCTACAAGGATGTGGCAGAGGAGGTGGCTCAGGAAATGGTGGGTGCTGCAGGGTGGAGGGGATGGGACACTGTGGGGATCCCTGCAGACCGATACAGCTCCATTCCTGTGCAGGTCGTCCTGGGCTTTGTCTGTGAGGCTGACTACAAGCTGGTGGCGAAGGCGGTGCGGGACCGCGTGGTCGCCATCAAGCGCAAGCGGGAGAAACTGAAGCGTGCGCAGGATGTGGTGCCACAGGCTGAGCTGGGGCAGGCGCCGGGCGTCCTGCAGCTGTTGGAGGACCTCAAGTCCCCACTGGCACCAGGCATCCCTGCACCTGCCCCAGCCACCACCGGCTCCAGGGACTCTGTTTTCAGCAGCACCTTCCCACCAGAGCCTGAGGAACCTGAGGCTGACCAGCACTTCGTGTACCGGCACACGAGCTACTCCTCGGCCACCTGTATGTAGGCACAGGGAAGCAGACATGGGGCTCTCCTGCTCCTCCAGCCACACCTGTGCATCGCACCCCAAGGCTGTGTTTACTAAAGGGGAACTGAGAGCTGGGGTTCCCCTTTAGTAAGCACAGCTTGCCATGCTCACATGTGCACTTGTTTGCAGCTGACTGCGAAACAGATGGCTACTTGAGCTCCTCTGGCTTTCTGGACTCCCCAGACGTGTCTCATCGCAGTGCTTCAATGGGGACTCCCACTAGCCCCCCACCCACCCGCTCCACACGTTGCTTCCCCACGGTGAGCCCATGAGGCTGGGAGGGTTGGGGTAGCAGCGGTGGTGGCACTGGTTCACAGTATCCCCTCCCCACAGAGCATTGCAGTGCAGCTACCCTCTGAGCGCCTGCCCACAGCCAGCGGCTTCTCTTCTCCAGTGGACAGGTAAGCACTGGGATCCTGGGCTGGAGCTGTCTAGGAAGGGGGCTGCAGGTGGGGACAGCCACACTCATGTACGGGGTGTCATGCAGCTATGCCTCGGATGTGGCATCGGGCATGAGCGACGGCTGTGAGGGGCTCTCTGCTGGTGAGCAGAGCAGCAAGCTGCCAGCCAAGCGGGCAGTGGGGAGGCTGCAGCGACGCAGAGCCCGGTCCCGGCTGCGCATCACCAATGTAAGTGCCGTTGTGTCAGGGTGAAATGCATCCCTGCTGCCTCTGCTGAGCCCTCCATGCTGCATGCAGATCTCCGACAAGAACGATCGGGTGGTGGAGTGCCAGCTGCAGACCTACAACAACAAGATGGTGACATTCAAGTTCGACCTGGATGGGGACAACCCAGAGGAAATCGCAGCTGTCATGGTGAGTGCAGGACTTGGATAAGGGTGGGGAAAGGGCAGCCGTGGTTCTGAGCATCACCACACTGCCCCACCAGGTCCACAATGAGTTCATTCTCAAGTCGGAGCAGGACAGCTTCATCCACCGCATTCAGGACATCATCCACCGTGTGGAGACTCTGCTGCGCAAGGATGGGCAAAGCGCATCCGAGCTGCCCGAGAGCCCCGAGGCTGAGTGTGTCACCGGCCATCCTGTGAGTGCCTGGTCCCAGCCCCCCACGCTGGGACCCCGAGTGTGGCTGGGGGTTGGCTGGTGCTGGAGCAGACGCTGCGGGTGCTGAATCTTTCCAGCCCCAGCAAGAGCAGCCCTGCAGCTCCGGGTCATGGTGCTGTCTGCATGACAGAACTGAGGCTCTTGTCCCTGCTTGCAGTGGAGATGGGTTGGGGATCGGTCATGCTTTGGTTCAGCTTGTTCCAGCACTGAGCTCAGCTTCTCTTTCCCCAGCAGGCAGAGCTGCAGCTGCAGGAGCTCTCACACTCCATCTCCTCCTCCTCACTCAGTGGTACGTCCTCACCTCTGTGTGAGCTCTTCCTGCACCCCCGGCTGAGCCAGGAGGGTTCTGGGAGGCCTAGATGGGCTAAGTGTGCCCTTGTGCCACAGACCTGGGCTGCACCAGCCCCAGCACCTCGCTCCAGTCACCCACCCTGCCAGCGCCGAGCAGCTCCCCATTGGAGAATGACCTCTCCAGCCCTGCAGAGCCACTGCCGGGCTCCCCTGCAGGTACTAGGCCTGGCAGGGCAGCACTTTCTCTACCCAGGACTCCCAGCCATAGCCCTGCCAGCTGCAGCACCTTTGCCAGACTTGCAGTGGCACAGTGCTCGGGGCTGCTCCCTGCTCCTGATGCTTCTCTTTCCTGCAGGCTCGGCGCAGCCCTGGCCTCTCATCTCATCATCTCCATCCTGGATGACAGCATCACCGGTGCTCCTACAGACACCCCCAGGCTCTTCAGGAATGTCTGTTCCCCCTGCTCTGCCAGTCCCCTCATCCCCCATCCCCAGTGGACCCAGGAGTCCCATGAGCCCCCCCGTGACCAGCACACCCTGGTCCCCAACCACCCCCCTCCTGTCCTTGGCCAATGTCTTTTCCCTGGCAGTGATGAGCGTGGCCCACACGCTACTGCCTGCTGTCTCCTCCATTGCCAGCTCAGGTGGGCACCTCTACCCCCCGCTGCTGCCTCGGCCACAGAATCTCGTCCTTGGGCCCCCACGCTTCGTTTACCCTGACCCTGCCAGTATGGCAAAATCCTCCCTGTCTTGCAGCGGGCCTCTGGGGGCTGACGTCCCTGCTATGGAGGGGCCCGTGCCATTCTCTCCTCCGACAGCAGTTCCTCTGTGCCCCACCGGAGGTCCCTTGACGATGCCAAGCACAGTCATGCCAGGGAGCCCGGAGGGCAGCACAGTGAGTGTGGGGCTCTGTGGAGCCGTTTGACGTGGGCCTTAATGCTTGTGTGCTGGGTTGGTGATGGGACACAGAGCCCTGCAGCACGGAGATGCTCCAGCACAGAGACAGCCCTGAGGAGCTGGGAGGGCTGAGCAGGCCAAAGGTCACAGTTGTGGGAGCAAAAGCAGAGGTACTGTAGTGGTATAGTGACAGCATACGGGTGCCTGCAGGTGCCGTTTGTCCCCCTCAAGCCCGATCACCCACTCATCGTCTCAGAGTCGCCAGCATCCAGTGTGCCCAAGGCCCGGCTGTCACCCATCAATGAAGGTGAGGTGGGGAAAGGACTGTGCCCACAGGGGCACTGCAGCATCCCTGGCGTCCCACTCACCCCAGGCCCCATGGATTCCCCCCAGAAGCCAAGCCCCAGATCCTGGGCCGCTTCCAGGTGACACCATCCAAGGAGCCAGCTGTCACATCCCCAGTGCTGGGCAGCAATGAGAGCAAGCAGCACGGCACGGAGTTGGCGGTGAGCAGCTCTCTGCTGCCCACCACCTCTGGCACAGGGAGCAGCACGAGCAGCAACTCTGACTCAGAGCTGGAGATGGCAGTGCAGAACCCTGAGGAGGAGGCAGTAGCTGAGGAGGGGACAGCAGTGCCGGCAGAGAGTGACCGGGAGGGCCCTGGGGAGGAGAGTGCTCCGCAGACGGTGCTGAGCCAGGTATGGCTGAGCCAGTCCCGCAGCTTGTCCTATGTGAGCAGCGATGACAGTGAGAGCGAGGACGAGGAGATCTGGGAGGAGCTGCAGACCCTGCGCCAAAAGTGAGCAGCCCCATAGTGAGCTCGTGGCTTCCTGTGCACACCAGGGGTGGGGAGCTGTGCTCATTAAGGCAGAAGGACGATGCCCTTTTGCAGGTCACCATATGTACACGAGGCTCAGCTCCCATTCTCTTTCCCAAGGCACTTGGCTGAAGTACAGCTGCTGCAAAGCACCCAGAAGAAGGAGATTGAGGAACTGTACCTGCGGATGGGGAAGCAGCCCCCGCTGGGCATCGTCTCCCCTGCTGCCATGCTCTCCAGCCGCCAGCGCCGCCTCTCCAAGGGCAGTTTCAACCCCTCCCGCCGGAACAGCTTGCAGCGCCTGGAGTTGGCGCAGCCCCCAGGTACAGCCCCAGTGATACCTGCAACTCCCAGCTAGGATGGGGCTCCCAAGGCTGAGCCTGTGTGAGGCACAGCTCAGTGCACCCACTCAGGACTGAACTGTCCCAGCAGGAATCATGCGCCGGAATTCACTGAGTGGCAGCAGCACTGGCTCCCAGGAGCAGCGGCTGAGCAAGGGCGTGACATTTGCAGATGATTTCAGCTGGATGGTAAGGGGTAAGGGGTTGGTAACAGCCCTGCGGCACTCCCAGCCTGCCCCAGCTCATCAGCACCTCTCTCCCACAGTAGCCAGCTGGCCAGGAGTTACTTCATGAGCTACCTCAACAGTGTGCCTGCTGCCCCCGCAGGGGGTGAGAGAGCCTCTGCACCATCTAGGATGGTGGGCGCTCACCTCGGGAAGCCTGGCCCTTTGCCTTTCTGCACCCTATCAAGACTTCACTGTTGGCACCTGCTGCTTCTGCACCAGACAGAGGGCTGTCCCCACACTTGTCCGATATGCTCTTTTCTGTGTGCCCCAGCCCTGTCTCATCCCAGTGGCACACAGCCATTTGCTTGAGCTTGGCCCCAGAAGCAGGAGGGATGAGTGCTGACACCGCTCATAGCATCACTGTGCTGCACTTTGCTCCTGGCTCCAAGAGCAGAACTGAACACCCCTTGCATCCACTTCACCCCTGCCACCGCACTGTCCTCCAACCATCCTTCAGTCCACGTGCACAACCCAGGGCCACCTCACAGCTTCACCTCCGGCTCCCCAGCTGCTGTCCATGGCTCAAAGTGCCACTTTCCTCTTGCAAGCTGCCAGGACCAAAGCTGGCTCCAGAGCAAGATGATGCCACCCTCAGCCCCCTAAAAAATGACAGCCCAGTGCATTTTGTTACAAACTGAAGTCTAGAAAGTGTTTTCATAAATACAGATTAAATACCAAGCATGTCTGTCTCTGTCTATGCAGTTGGGGTTCATGCAAATTTGAGTCAGATGATAAAAACAAAAAATGGAGAATCCCCCCTACATCTGCAGGTGTCCAGGGGCTGTGAGACCCCAAGTGGAATTCTGGTCACCAGGTGACGTAGCAGCAAGCATCAACCCAGGCTCTAGACATGTTTATTGCGCAAAGGCAGCAAGAGCCCGACCCCATTCTGAGAACATGTCCCTAGCCAGGACCCCACTGTGCTCTGGGACAAAAGGCCCTGCCTGCAGGGTGTCCTGACACTGTAACGAGTAGCACGGCCACGCAGACCCCACGCGACTCCGGTCTCCTCGAGGCCGTCGCCGGGCCAGGCCGGGCTCAGCTCGCAGCACTCTTCTGCCGCTCCCAGGCCCGTGCCCGCGCCGCCTCCGCCTCCTGCTCCAGCTCGTCCAGAAACTGCTCCTGCGACACGGAGTAGAAGGTATACCCGTCTGCGGAAGGGGTTAAGGAACACAACAGCCCTCCGCAGCCCATACAGCCCGCCCTCCGCCTGCAGGATACAGATGCCCGCGGTGACCACGCCGATGCCGAGGGCCAGCAACACGTTGCGGCTGCGGAGCTGGCGCTGCAAGGCGCGCTGGCGCTGGGCGCGCTCCACTTGCGCCATGAAGCGGCGCTGCTCAGGGCTCAGCCCCGGCTCCCGCTCCGGGTCAATGCGCCGCGCAAACGCCGCCTCCCCAACAGGCTCCCTCGGCGCCGCCATCTTCCCTACCGCGACTTCCGGTAGCGCAGTGACGCCACACCCGTCCGGGAAGCGGGCCAATCGGGAAGGAGCGCGGGAGCACCAGCGGCCTGAGGCGGAGCGTCGAGTGATTGGCTGGCGCCGGAACGCGCGTAGAGGGCGCGTTCTGATTGGTGGGGACGCTCCCTCAGGCAGGAACCGTACGCACGTGCCAAGGCGGGACGCGCTCTGCCGGTAGGGCTGCGTCTGCGCCGCGCGCGCCGGGGCTCCTTCCGGAGGCTGCGGGTGGGTCTTCCACTTCCCGGCCGGTCTTCCCAGGCCGTAAGGGCTGCCTCTGCCTGGTTTTATGTGGCTTTTGGCATTGGTAGTTGTGAAGGGTTACTGCCATTACTACAGCCCTCGAAGTTTCAGATGCAAATTGCTAAATGCTGTCCCGGGTGCCAGTATCATCCAGATTCTCCAGCTCAGATCCGCTCTTTGGTGAAGTTGCTCCTGAGATCATCGAGGACACACTGATCCACCTGGCCATGGAGAATGAGCAGCACCTCAGCATGCTGCCCGGCCCTGTGGGCTGCTTCAGGGAGGCACGCGCTGTGGGTGAGGTCCTGCACAGCCACCACTGGCTCCTGCATCACTGGACTGCTGTACAGCTGTGTCTGCTGGCTGAAGTTTGCTGCAATTAGGTGGTTTTTTTTTTTTTTTTTTTTTTTTTTTGTTTCTTCCAGAATTTATATTCCTTCTGTCTGAAAAATGGCACCTGGACCAACCAGCAAGGTATCAAGCAGTAGAGCTACTTGAAAGGTAAGAAAATGCTGAGCACTTCTCATCTCTAATGCAATTGACACCATGCATACCCTTTGCTGGTCACTCAAACTATATGTTTTTTGTATCTGGAGCTTCGTCTCTTGAATGATAATTTAGATCTATAGCTATACATGTACTGTGTACATACAGAACTGCTTGTCTTCATTTTTCCTTACTAGAAACGTTTCTTGTAGGTTTATGATCAAGCAAGTAGAACAAATCTGTACGTCCCCCCGACAGAACGTCACAGGCGGTGAAGAAGGCAGAAGCCAGAACTCTCTGCAAGAACAGATCTATGACACATTTGTCCTACGGCTGGTGTCGTGCATTCAGCTTGCGAGCAAACTTTCCTTACACTATAATGTAACCTATATGAGCCTTTTCCAGCTACATTTTCAGTATTGTAGAAAAGTATATAACCTCTCTAAGTAATACATTTTCTCTCTGAAAATCAGCAGTGATAGCAACACAAAGGATAGCAAAATGAAGCTCCAGTCTCTTGCATTTCAGGCAGATTAATTGTAACTCATCTTGTAAAAATGTGTCAGGAAATGTTCCCAGTACAGGTCAGGAAGAAAGTACAGGCAGCTGGAAATCCCAGCCTGTGGCTGTCAGAACACAGAGAGCTACAAAGAGCTTGTCTGGCGACCGTGTGCGGATATAGAGAACCTAAGGGAAAATTCTGAGCTGTATTTCTCATGCCAGTTTAAAAGGCATGTTGGGCAGCTGTGGGAGCATGCAGTATCAACACCACAATGGTTTGTGCTTAAACTCAACGGGAGGAGTAAAGCAATGAGGACACAATAGTGTGGTTTTTTTTTTCCTCTTAGGCAGTTAACAGTGACACAGCTGTAAAATTTCTGCAATCCTTAAAATACTCATACACTAAACAAGAGTTGCTTGAGTCAGAGCTTGCTGTTTTGGAAACTCTGCAGTTCCAGATCAATGTGTCGACTCCACTGGCTTACATTGAACTGCTTCTAGAGGTTTTAGGTAAGAGCATTATTAAGAGAGAATGGTAAGGAATTTTAAGAGCAACAGAGCTATTACTGCAGTATAGCTATCTGAAACGAAATGTCCCATGTTACATATCTTTTCTTACTATGAAAGCATGTGAAACTTCTCAGACTTGACCTTTCAGATGAGAATTTGTCTATAGTAGAATCTGCAGGGTGTTGTCTGACAGCCAGTCCTGTCCCATTCAATAAAAGGTTGCTTTAAATTCACTAAACTTAGTACAAGAACACATTTTCTAAAATGACTTACCATTTACTTTGCCCAGGTCTGACAACCTGGACAACATTTCAGGAGTGTAATGGCACTGAGATTGAGAGGGCCTTGTGGCATTCAGAAACAAGGGGCAGTTGTCACAAAACATCTGTATTCTTCACTTGCAGTAACTAATGCTTCTTTCAAACTCAGTTTGTTGATCCTAAATGTTTGGGTAATTGTGTATGATCTCTACATCAGGACATAATGGCTGCTTACTTCCTGCAAAACCGCTGCATCAGATGTGCATACAACTACTAGACTTCTTCTATCTTAAAAGAGATACCATCTATGACACTTTACTGAGTATTGCCATTGAGAATTTGACACCAAGTGAACTGCAGATGTAAGTGGCTTACATTAATTAAAACCTTACAAAAGCTTACTACTATAATTCTCATTATGCTGGGTTTTTTTCTTGTCTTCTTTTCTGACATCTGTTTTTAAGTATCTTAATTTGGGAAGCTTTCAGTATTGTTGATGAAGCATAATATACCAGTTCAAAACAACATGCTTCACCACTTTGCCCTTTGCTTTAAGGGCAAGCTAGGGAAGTGTTTAACTTCATGTTAAAAATCCAGCTTCAGTACTGTTAATTAACGTTAATAGTATCAAGCTTTATTTGGACTGACTATACAAGCTAAACTGTCTGCAGGCTGTACAAAGATTTCCAGTGTTCTTGAACTAGCATCGTTTTACACCGTTACATGCTTTTACTTGTGCAGAGCAAAGTTCTTGATAGTAAAGGAAGATTTAATGCTCTTGGCAGTTGGAATCATCAGCACAAGTGCTTTCGTGCTAAACCCTGAGCACTGGAAGAAGGTACAGTCATTTCCAAACAAATTACCTCTACGTGTGGGGAAAAAAGTGAAGGTTATTTATATGTTTAAGAACAGACAGAGGTTGGTAGACTACTGGGAGTGAAAGTGACATCCTTTGGTTTATTCGCAGGAAGTGTGCATGGTTTTATAAGTTAGGTCAGAGGGCACAAAGGCAGTTCAGCAGCAAGGCTTGTGCTGGTGTTACCATCAGCTTATCCTCCTGCCTCAGCTTTTGTACAGCTCGAACTCAGTGAGTCAGTTTCATTGACAACTGGACAATTTTCTGCCCAAGCTGCTACTGAATAATAAGCAGTGCATTGCAGAAAGCAGCTTTTTCATTTTATTTCTTTAGTAGAGGCAATTCATTTAAAAAACAAACAAACAAGAACAAAAAAACCCACCCCTTGCTCTGACGTACAGAAAGGTTTTGACTTAAGTCAAAAACATGACTTGGGTTTGTGGAGCATTATTATTCTTCTTAGATATGGGTACGGCTAAGAAGTAGCTCTGTAAATTAATGTATATTAGGCACTGTAAATAAGTGGGTTTTTTTTTTTTTTTTCCCTAAGGTTGTGGAACATTTAAACTGTATTACTGGCATTACTTCACAAAGTATCTCGGAGTTTTCATATGCAGTACTGAAACACGTTATTGGCAGCATCACTCCAAAACAGCCCCACAGGAGGTAGAAGAAAAATGCCAAAGACTAGAATTATGCCTTTTATATACAGCTATCCTCTGTATCTATTAGTTAGTTTGTTAGTAGCAAAGTTACTCTTTTGATGGTATTTCACCTCCTGTGATACTACACAGGGCACCCAAATTGATTTTCTTTTGATTTTGAATACCATGTCTGTTCTGTAATACTTCATTTGCTATGTTTAAGTTAGAAAAGCTTGTTCTTCCAGGGTACGCACTCGCGCCGTGAAGACAGGTACACAGGAACAAAGCAGTGTTTAGAACACCTTTTTCAGCTCCAAAAGCTTTATTTTAAGAGCTACATTTAACTTACTGAATACGTTTTGTTTGAAAACTGTAAGGAGTCTTAATTTGAAAAAGCATTAATGTGAATGTTATTCAGCTTGGTCATCAGTATTGCTACAAGTTCACAAGCTCAGTTATTACAAACCGGGCTGTACTGTGCTGCTGGTTCAAAAACTAACTGTTGTTTCAGACAGCTTGCTGCAGCCAGGCTGCTTGTCAGTTTTCCCTTTGCCAGTGGTCAGAGGCTTGTTTGCTCTTGCCTTCAGCAAGCCAGCTAGCTGAGCAGTGTTGTGGAAAGAAAAACTCTCACCTGTTTTGAAAGCTGAGTGCAGTTGTCAAGGCAGCAGGTGCCTGTTCAGCATAGCTGCATAAGTGCTGAGGGATGCTTAGGCTGTGACTAGTGTTAAATGAAAGCAATCTCAGGGTAGAACGGGCTGTTTTATCTTTGGTGTTACTCAGTGCACCTCTGTGCAGTAACACGCTACAGCAAGTATTACAAATAAGTGATATCACTGTAGTAACGGTATTTTGCAGTTTCAAACCCTTGTAAAGTTCAGTGGCAAAAAGAAATGTAGATATGACTTAGAAAATATTTATTTTAAGCTGTACTTCTTCAGTGACCAAACAGACCTTCCATGCGTTTTTCCACAGTAGTCCCTGTTAGAAACATTTCATTTTTCTAACCCCTGTTTTGTTAAGCTGTAACAGTAGTATCAAACTCGCTGGCATTTTGAAGTTTGACAGTAACTTATATACATATCTATAAACATCCAAAATGCCAGTTTAATGTCTATTCAGTAGCTGATTTTTTTTCAAATTCAGTTCAGCTCAATTATATAATTTTACCTATTGCTTTTCTACATACTACTTGCAATAACGTTTTTTTTTTTTAATTTTTTAAATAAAGTGTCTTGTGAATTTTAGGTATTGTAAACATTTTGTACTGGTTAGTATTCAGAGACTTCTTAATTTGAGTTTCTCCAATAAAATGCAGATGCTTTACAGTTGCCTTGACATGGTTATTTGTTATAGAATTGGGATGAGACCCAGGCAAGACCCCACTTCAGGTTAGTTAGCATGAATTTTAGTGCTTTTGTCCATTGCTCCTCAGAGTTAAATTGTGTTTTAATAGAGTAAGAACCACCGCTGCCACCTGTATCTTCAATCTTTCCTTTCTCCACGTCCATCCTGTATCACAAAGATTATTAAGAAGTTACTAGAGCAAGCATTTAATTTCAATGTAGTGTTAAGTTCTGATCTTTAAATCTGATACTCACATTCTTAGTACGTTATAATATTTTGTTTTTAAAAAAAATGCAGCAAGCCTCAGACTTCCTCACTTGAGGAACTAGCCTTAAATCTCAGACTTATAGCAAGGGTGATAATCCTGCACGCTACAAAGAACATGAAATGATCTCCAAAAGACAGGACTGCAAAGCAAGCAGTGCTGTGGACAGGTCCAGAGGTCAGCTAACAGTGCTGAGTGGGACACCATAAAATGTGGTAATTTGATGTTATTTGGCAACACTTACCTATAAGGCAAACAAAACCGAGTTTCACCTTTTTCCACTTCCTCTTTAAACTGCTGCACACAGTCCAAGAAAGCCACCATCGCATGGTCAAATTTATTGTCCCAGAAGAACCTTAGGCCTCCAGAACAATACAAGGGTAGCTCCTGGGGGAAAAAAAAATTAAAAAAAAAATTCAGGCACCTTAAGCTTTCACTTTAGATGCTGTCATTACAAATCTTTAGTCTGTGTGAGGCTTAAATTTAGGATGCTTACTACAGTAGTTCGTAGCATGTAACAGCTGCAGTTTGTCTCATGCTAAGCATGCTACGTGAATGTTAGTGGTTATCGAGAGAAGACTTGAGTTCCTTATCACCAACAATCTTCCCAAATCAAATTAACTTCCTCTGACCAGCTGCTCTGTGAATGCAAGAGTCCGGCCTTTTTTAATGCTCCTGGATGGCAGAGTCAGTGGCTTGATATGACATGGAGTGAAACACTACGTGTTGAAAGCAGGGTAGCCAGCTCTCCTATGCCATAAATTCATAAAGGTGTACTCTCAAGAGCAGACTTAGTCTTCTGTGTCCTTCAGTATGAGCAGGGATCTGAGATGTTCCAGGTCTATTTTCTGCGACTCGTGCAGAATTACTTACCTTCGATTTGTCTGTGAGGGACTCTAAATACGAGTGGTTGCCATACGGTACAAGGCGGTATCTGAAAGGACATGCAGTTCACAGGCAGGTGAGTCTAAAAGTCTTTATCCAGGTTGTAAGTGAAATGTGAAATGCAAATTATATTGCATATACCTTTGAAACTTCAGGCCCATTTTGTTAGCAAGGGCATGCAGTAACAGCACAGTCTGCCCCCAGGCTGCATTGATCTCATTCCATTCTACAGGAACACTGGGGAGACGGCCAAGTCTGAAGTTATTTATTGTGCCAAACTGACCACTGTGCCTGTGATAAGAGGAATTATAAATAAGTGCACTGGGGCAGGAACAGCTTTTAGCATGCTAACCAAACAAGGGCAACCTACAAACAGCTACAGAACACGCTACCAATCACACAGAATGAAGGTTTGAGGACCCTGATTTGAAAGTATATATAAATATCAACGTTTTGCTTTCTATGAAGTTCCTTTGGGAAAACAAAAACAAGCTGCATGCTCTCTGAAGCCTGACAGAAATTTGGCCAGCACAACAGCTGCCTGCTGGTTAACATGGTTAGCAGAGCCATTTTGCAGGCTCCTCACACACATCTGCAAACTGCAGCAAATCTCTGAGATGCCACTAGTGGGAGATGGGTCCATTTTCTGCAGCACAACTTGACTAGCACCTCTTCTGTCAAAAGCAGTTTTATTTAAATGGTTCTATATTGCAGAATCTTAGCAAACTGAAGCAATATTCCAGTGTCTACGTTACCAGATGTGGAAAGTTGCATTGAACACATTAGTTTTCTTTAATTTATCCAGTTGCATCTGAGCATAACGCATTTGGTTCTCCACACTTTTCAGCTCATCATCTAGCTCCAGTTGTTGTCTCTTAAATTCACAGTATTCTTTCTGATACCTTCAAATAAAATCAAGACAAGAAATGCTAGGTACAAGGCTCTTACAGGAAAGAATGTAAGCGCTCACATGATATGCTAGAATTATTTTGGCGTGTCCAGCTTCAGTTTTGCCAAGAACAAGCTTTGTGCATTTGGGCATTAGTCATAGGTATCCATACTTTATAATTTTATTTATCTGCCAGCAACTGCAGTTGCAGTTCACTCACTGAGCTTCTTCCTGCTCCAGTCGCTCCGCCTCTGCCCTGACTCTTTCAAAGTCTTCAGCCACAACCTTGCGGTTCTTCTCAACATCTTCTAGCTCCTGAATCAGTTGCTCTTCTTCCAGTGCAAGTTCTTTCAGTTCTGTCTGCAGTTTCTCCTTATCATCCTCGTTCATTTTTTCCAGTATCTCCAGACATCTCCTGGTAGGACAGTTACATGGTTATCAGAATGGAGACCCTGAAAAGGCCCTCTGCCAATACTTTGTAGTTCTATGACAGGCCCTGCACGCGAGTAGAAGTACAATCACAAACTCCAATCTTACAAGTGCATCGGCTGTATCAGTGGAACAAGGTGGTGATGGAGGACCTGCTGCTGCCTGTGAACAACTGCAAAGTATGTGGATCTCACAGTGAGTGCTCCCACCTGGCACCTTGGGCAGGTGGGGTCTGTCGCTCCAGTGAGCGCACAGACTTCAGTTTGAGATCCTCAGAAGTAAGCGCTTAATCTCAGTCAAACAAAGTGCTAAAGTCCAGAGCTTCCATTGCTGGCTATGGAAAGCAAGATAAGCCTATTTTTCCCTAGCCTCCAACTAAGCCAACTGATTTCCTGACCAATTCCATATTACTCACTTGTAGTTCTGGCATTCATTCTCTGTGATATTAAGCTGTGTGTCTAGCTGGTCTAGCAGAGTATCTGTGCACTCCTCACACAGGGGGTGATCCACATCCGTCTGCCCAGACATGATATCAAAGAGATCACCAGTAACCTGGAGGAGAAATTCACCATTAGTTCAAGCAAAGCTGCAGACAGCTGCCAGTTGCTTCCCAGCAGATGGGCTTGTGGCTCTTCATCTGACAGAGTATTTTAAGAGATTAAGTCTTGATTAAAAATAAGCCAGTTATGCTTACTTAACTATTCATTCTCAAAAATATTTGAAGGCCAATGCCATGACAAACTTTGCACTTCAACCCCTTCACAGTGTCTAGAAAAACTAATGCTATAGTCATGGAGTCATAGAATATTTAGGGAGAAAAAGACCTCTGAGGTCATCAAGTCTAAAGTACCCAAGTTTACCAGCTCGAGTACAACTTGCCTTCAGTCTTCTGCTGAGGTTTTCCATCGTGCCTCCATCTGATGCCTCTCCAATCAGCGTGAAGCTGTTGGCGCTTTCCGTTGACATCATTCTTGGAAAGAATTTTACCGAGAATTGAATGCAGAGGGCTTAAGGGAACCAGGCTGTGCACGAGACTTAGATCTAGGGCAGTTCTCAGGAAGGAAGAACACAGACAACACACCAGAAAAACGGCTGAGGGGACAGGAGTCAAAGGAGCTCTACCAAGCTTGTTTTGTGTTAACCCACAACTAATTAAGTGTCCTCAGTATATTTACGGGGCTTTAAAGGGCTGTTCCTGAGTGCGTTTCAGAGCCCACGGAAAACACTTCCAGAAGCAGGCTTCAAAAGTCTCCGCGCGATCCGAGGCACACAGCACCCCTCCCACAGCGCTGCCCGCCCCCCGGCCCAAGGCAGGCACGGCGCGGCGCGTCCACCAGCTCTGCCCTGGCCGCGTACCTGGCTGGCGGGATGAACCTCCTGGAGACGCCGTCCTGCCGACCCTCCGCGAAGGCCTCCTGCAGGGAAAGGCACCGCCGTTACCGGGTCCGCGGTGCGGCCGCGTCCCGCCCGTTCCCTCCTCGTACCTCGCTCAGGGCGCTCTCCTCCTGCGCATCCCCGGGCCGGGCAGGCGCAGCGGTCAGCAGCGGCGCTACGGGAGAAAAGCTGTCAGCGCCCGGCGCTGCCCAGCCGGCCCGTCCCACCCCCCGCGCTGTGCCGGTACCGGTGAGCTCCTGGATGGTGAGCCGGTCGAGGATCTTGAAGGAGGTATCGAGCTTCAGCGGCTGGCTGCAGCGCTGGCACACGAAGCTGACCTGCGTGGTGCAGGCGGGCGCCCGCCCGCCCTCCATGCCGTTCCGCTCCGCTCAGCCCCTGGTCCGCACCACAGCCATCGTCTCCGCCGGACGTGACGCACAGCCCGGCAAGGTCCTAGCAGGCGTGTGGAAGCCCCGATGGCGGCCATTTTCTTTTCCACGTTCCCCTCTATTTCCTTCCTGCCAGCTGCCAGGACCCGGCGGCGCGGTCAGGCGGGGAGCGAGCGAGCTGCTATTGGCAGCACGCGGCGTGACCTCACTTCCGGCGGCAGCGGAGCCGGCGGTGGGGTGGCGGCAGGCGCGGCCCGTGGCACGGCGAGACCCGGATTCGCACCTGCCGGTATGGCCTCGCTGCTCAAGGTGGACCCGGAGGTGAAGCTCAAGGTGCGCCCGCTGCTCTCGGCCGCTTAACGGCCCGCCGCTGCTGCCGGCCCTCCCCGTGGAGTCTGCCCGGGCCTCGGGGCGGGCCCGGCACCTCCGCGGGGGCCGTTCAGCCGTTTCTCCGCGCCTCCCTAGCGCGGCCCGGCCCACTCCGCCCCGCCGCTCCTTCTTCCGCCGCTGTCCGATCGGAGTCTCCTGCTGGGCCGCGGCCGGGCCGCGCCCGCGCTGTTTCCGCTCGGTGTGTGCTGCGTTCAGCCTGCGCTGAAGCTGGCGGTCTGCGGCCTCGCGGCTTTTGTTCTGGGCTCCTCGCGCCGTGCGTTGGCCTTTGGAACTCGGCCCGTGCAAGTGAGGGAGGCGCGGGCTGCGTTCGGCTGCTTCTCGTCCATCCTGGGGTCTCCCGGCCCTCCGCCGTGCGCTCACAGGAACAAGTTGGTGCCCGGGGTTCGGACCTGAGGCAGGCTCCATCCGTGCATGGCGCAGCGCCCAGCTACGGTTGAGTTGGGGAATTTTTTAGGACTGTCCTGAACTGTTGCTTTGTTTCTTCTGTAGGTTGACTCCTTCAGAGAGCGGATCACAAGCGAGGTGAGTATCCTCTGAGAGGAAAGAGCTAGCTTGGCATGTCTTTTTGACGTTTGAGTGTCTTCTGTAATCTTAGAAGTGTGCATAGCTCACTTTAGTCATTGGCTGAGATGAGATTATACAGCCTTGTGGCCCACTCCACGTCTTTTTTTTTTCCATTTGGCTTTGTGTGGAGTTTGTTGGAAGGCAGAACTTATGTGCCATGCTGTTTCCTGGCTTTGGAGAGTCAATTTTCCTGGTGTTTTTGTTAGCTCATGATGAATTCGTGGCATTGTTTCACTTCATAATCTCTTTTTTCTCTATCAGGCTGAAGATCTAGTGGCAAACTTTTTCCCAAAGAAGCTGTTAGAACTCGATGGGTTCCTGAAAGTAAGATATACGTGCTATCTTCTGTATTCTATTTTATTTTCAAACTGTGTGCTGGAAGGTGATGTGACTGGAACAGATCCTTCCTGTGCATTTATCTTGTGTATATCACCATAATGCAGAGAAGCGAAGCAATGGCTTTGTTGCGTGCATGTACTGAAACGCTGCTAGCTCTAGAGGGAGTGATTCCTGTTTCCGTTTTCTTCATGTGATCGACACATTTACTGTTCTTACGCATTCAGTAGCTTTGGGCTGTCCTTCATGATGCTATAGGACTCCAGCATGCCCAGCGCTGCAGACAGACAATAGCTTTGATCGTAATCTAGAGCTGGCACTCTGCTCTTGGACAGAGGGAGGTCTTGCTAACGGTCCTATTGTTGGAGTTTTTTTTGTATTCGTCCTTATTTTGTGTTTGGAGATGTAAAACTTTTGTCATCTTATTGTGCTTACTGTGATAGAAGTCGTTATTTCATAATTAAATAACAAGTATGCATTATTTTCCAGGAGCCTATCCTGAATATTCACGATCTCACTCAGATCCATTCAGACATGAATCTCCCAGTGCCTGACCCAATTCTTCTCACAAACAGCCATGATGGACTGGACGGGGTAAGGTTACTCTCTTGGCTGAGCTCCTGCTTCTGATAATTAAAACTGCATGGCCTGGTCTGTGTTGGATTAGTATATTCTTAGTTAACAAACAGCCTCCCAAAGGCTTTCAGGAATTGGTCTCCCGATCTTGGGAAGTCTGCTGGAGGGTGATGCTGTCCTTCACAGTGTTCCTTTGTTTTTAAAGACGGATGGTTAGAACCCAGGAGTGTAGCAGAGGCCCTAATGTTATCCTTACTTCCTCTGCAACAGTTTTATAGCTTACGACTAGTTTGTAAGTAAAACATTTTGTATATTTTAGCCAAATATGAAAAAGAGGAAGCTGGAAGACCGTGAAGAGACCTTTCAGGGTAAGAATCCCCGAGTCTCTTTGTTGCTGCCTGCCCCTTGAGCCGTGCCTTAAGAGAATGAAATGACTTCAGTCCCACTTGCCCTGACCTGACAGCATCTGCTGCTTATGCAGACCTGTCTCTGCAGCCTCAGAGCCTGACCTACAGATATTCTCTTGTGGTGGAGTCAGGTTCTAGCTCTTAGAAGCAGCAGGATTTGGATTTCTCTGATCGACATAAGTAGCAGTTGCTTAGGCATAGTGTGTTGATGAGCAGCTGGCCTCCCCATGGATCTATTCTAAAAGCTTTTTACATCTGGAGGAAGACCTCTGGTTTTGGATTAAGCTGAGGCAGAATAATTTCTTACACGCATGTCAGGAAAATCCTTGTACCTAGGCTCAGCAGGCTAGAGCTCTCCAGTTCTCGTCTAAGTCTGTATTTCCTCTCTTCTTTCCTTTGTGGCAATCACGGCTAGCCCATGCCCAGTTTCCCCCCTCCTGGCTGGTTAGCTGTGTCCTGGCTCAGTGTCCACTGCTAGCCTTTGTAGGAGACATGATGCTCAGGTGGACCTTTAGTCTGATCTTCTGGTGCATCTGTTCCCACATAGAGGTGATGCGTTTGCCTTCTCTGCCACTGTAGGTACCAAAGTGTTTGTGATGCCCAATGGGATGCTGAAGAGCAACCAGCAGCTGGTGGACATCATTGAGAAAGTGAAACCAGAGATCAGGCTGCTTATTGAGAAGTGTAATACGGTGGGTATGGGCTGCATCCCTGAGTTCTGGAGCAGATGGGGGCACTAGAATACTTTTGCTCCTTGTGTGAAGGTTCGCTGAAGGAGCAGATTCCTCTGTATCTTATAAATGATAGTGGTATGAATCCTGCACTTGTGAAGTCTGACAGGTAGGTGCAGGGAAATGTTCCTTTTCTGAGCTCTCAGGGAGTTCTGTAGTACACCTTGTGAAGGAGGATGTCTGTTTTGCAGGCTCCTTTCTTGAGGCTTTTCTTCACCCTCTTGCATAGTAACCAACACCTGCTGAGAGCCACTTGGGCACAATCAGGGGAGCTTCCCTTGAGAAGCTGCTATGCTTGTGTGGCTTCTCAGCCATATGAGAAGTTTAATCTACTCAGAAGTGGTGTGGGAGCCTGGAGAACCTGTAGGAGTTTATCATGAGCTGCATGGCAAAGACACGGTCATAGGGGGCTTTTGGAAAAAATTACAAGATTTCTCTGTAAAAATCTTGGCAGTGATCTGTTTATAGTGATCTTTCTTCTGCAGGTCAAAATGTGGGTGCAACTTCTAATTCCCAGGATAGAAGATGGAAACAACTTTGGTGTTTCTATTCAGGTAAGATATCATTGGCTGTGTCGTGGTTTTGTATTATAGTGTGTTGTCTTACGTTTCGATATCTGATTTAGTAAATTAGTTTGTTTCTCCTCAGATTGTTGCCGCTGTTTTAAGGCCCATCTCTCTACCTTTTTCTCCTTTTTTCCCTTTTCCTTTTCTCAGGACATGGGTCTGTGGATACCTCTGCCCTGCTAGTCATGGAACCGGGCCAAACCAGCCCGTAAGCCGTTGGCAGGCTGTGTGCCCTACTGTGGCAGAGAGCTATGCCCCAAGAGCGTGGACCTCTAGGTTCTTCCAAATCATTTGATTGTATCCAGTGTCTGCAGTGGTGGAGTTGGTTTAGGTTTTAAAATCCAAATCTGAGCTTGACATGGAACTGCTGAGACAGGGTACTTCTAGAGCCACGATGGCCAATTTCAGTATGAGTATTTCATGAGAAGGCTTCCTTTGCAGGAGGAAACAGTCGCTGAGCTTCGAACTGTGGAGAGTGAGGCAGCATCCTATCTGGACCAGATTTCTAGGTATGAAGAAACAGAGCTCTCTCTGGGAGTGCTGCTGGGAAAAGTAACCTTTCGGGGAAGGTCCTTCAGCTTTGCTGGGGCAGGTTGTGTCTGGAAAAATCTTGGTACTGTTTGTCTGATTTGTCTCCGTTTTCCTAACAGGTATTATATCACAAGAGCCAAGTTGGTGTCCAAAATAGCTAAGTACCCTCATGTGGTAAGTAAATGGGGAAGTGGTGCTTTACTGTTTACGTGCTGCTCCTTTTTGGGACTCTTCAGGCTACTCCATCACTGTCCTTTTTGAGCTAAGGGCGCTGTGGGAAAAGGGTGGGCTATATTAGAGTACAGAATATCTTCATCAGAAGAGAAGAAACTGAAAGGGGGATTCCTTTGTAAAAGGTAGGACCTTCAGTTGGTACATGGAAGCACACCTGAGCTCAGGCCACTTAGCCATGCATCTGTTTCCTGCAGGAGGACTACCGCCGCACAGTGACAGAGATTGACGAGAAGGAGTACATCAGTCTGCGCCTGATCATTTCAGAGCTGAGGAATCAGTATGTAAGTGAAAAAACAGAGCTCTCGCTGGCTCTCCACATAACAGAAAGAGCCCTTTCGATCCTTCTGCTGCTCTCCCCTTTCCCTATGATTACAGCTAGTCCTGGCGAGAAGCCTATGTCTTTCCTGGTCTGCTTTGGCACTAGCAAGAAGAACTAAGTGTTTATTGCCTCCCCACCATCTCCCAGAGATGTGGGTGTTTCCAACTTGAGTATTCATGAAAGCTGAGCACAAAATATTCTGTGCACTGCTGTGGGAACCTGCAATCCTAAATTCTTCAGGCAGTAGAAACCATTTCTGTACTCTGTATTGATGTCTTCTTTTTGTGCTTGTTTTAAGCAGAAATGTGATTGCAAGCAGGGGTTGAAAGTAGTACCAGAATGAGCTGTGATATTGCTCAAGTCAGTGGTTGTTGTGAATCCTGAATGCTAAGTGACACTCCCCTCCTTCATTTCTGAGTTGTGTTCTCCCTTTTTGCAGGTCACTTTGCATGACATGATCCTTAAAAACATTGAGAAGATCAAGAGGCCTCGGAGCAGCAATGCTGAGACCCTTTATTAAGTGTCAACGTTTGAACTTGAGAACTGTTCAGTCAACTAAAGACCGTCATTGCCTTGGTTTGTTACATGACTATCGAGATGGGAAACTGGCTGGAAATAGTATTGCATTCTTAGTTAAAATCTAAAGAAATTCTCACCTAGTTTTGTGATTGGTTTTATTCAGGTCTCAGGAGCTCTCCCTCCCTCTAGTATCTGGTAAAGAAAAAGGCCTTGCTGCTTTGGGATGCCCTAGAGGCTACTGCAGAGTGAGAGCAGAGCGCCAGCCAGGCAGGAACATTCCTTCATGCCTTTCTTCTTGCCTGAGTAGGAGCTACAGTAGAGACCAGGCCCTTGTCGTGTTCCATCTCTTGGCTGGAGACTTCTCTGTGGTCTCTGTGAACAAGGCAGACAGTCTTCAGCACAAGATAAGGCCTGGGTGGTGGTGCAGTCACTGAAAGCCAGCTCTCTTCAGTGCTGGCTGTAGTTGAGCCCCTTTGCCAATGCTCTGCACTGACTTATTTGCAAAGACAGGATTCTGCCCCGTCTGGGTTGGTGGCCAGAGCCACGTTCCAGTGCCACTGAGAGGTCTGTAATTGTTCTGTGGCTTTTTTGACTCAGTAGAGTGTGGCCCATCTGTCTCTGCCTTGGTTCTGAGCAGGTCAATGCAGAGCTGAAGGTGGTGCTTGTCACTGGGGCTGATTGCTGTACTGGCTGGTTGTGAGCGCATGTGGCTTCTGCTCCAATTTGCAAATTGACTAGAGTCACTTTCTTGGTTAAAACCAACTTCACGGGAGTCTTCATGCCTCCTCAGTATAAGTTGCTTTTGCCCAGGCTCCCTCCAAGGGAGGAGCCAGAGGTCTGATGCTAAACTCCTGGTAGATTCCATGTGTGATCAGAATGCAACCTGCTTTCTTCTGGCAGTGCTTCCAGCTGTCAGGCACAGCAGGCCAGCTGTGACAGTAGTGCTTGGGGTGAGGATGGCCAATTCCCACCTGGTACCGTTGCAAACCTTGTATTCTTTCCCCTGCAAAAGAGCACCCTTGTGTGCCTACTGACTCCTCTAAGCTGCTGGAACATTTCATGGTCCATTACAACCCCCTTTGGAAATGATTGGTTGTGTTGCGTCAGTTTTTGTGTGTGGGAAGTGAACCCATAATGCTGCAGGCTCCAAATTTTTTATTTATAGTATTTCTACTTAAGTCCCATATTCAGGGAATGTTAAATCATTTATTTCTGGAACCTCACTGTTTCCCAGGTCTCGTTACACCCATATATTCTTATTGTGCAGTAGCCTTAATAGTTGTGTTAACTTCGTTGTAACAACAGTGACAAAAGAAATGAACTTTCTCTCTCTCTCTCTCTCTCTCTTTTTTTTTTTTTTTTTTTTTTTTTTTAAATTTTGTTTTTGTTTTCTTTTTCTGCTTCCACCTCTAAGAGCCATGTTGTCTCTTGCTGGTTTCCTAGGGATTTCCCCGGAGTGTGGAGGGCCGCCAGCCCTTTCTATAGACTCTTCTGTTGTTGTTTGTAGTGAGTCAACCTTAGTCTTCCCACTAATAAATATTCTGTAACAAACCAACTGCGTTGTAGCTGCTATCTGGGAGCAGCACTCCCCCTTGTGTTTCTTTGTATTGATTTATTTTAATTTGTTGAGCTCTCTTTGCCAGATGAAACTATGTAAACTTTTACCATATCAGGAAATTAAAATAAGGTACTTTGAATTCTTTTAAGCTAGCCCCTTGTCTGTGATACTGAGCTCTTAGAATCGCTCTGCAGTGTTGGTGTCTGCTCTTGGCCATGCCTTTCACACATCCAGTGGTTCCTTCCATATGTTCTCCTCATTCTTCTTTTTGACTGTTGATACTGCTATGCGTGTGCTGCTTTGAAGATTGTTTCTGCTCCTTCAGCATGCCTTATATTAGGCCCAGGGGCTTGAGTTTGATGAGATCTGCCCTGTTCTTGTCCTTTGTGTTGGACTCAGGCTGTCTTGGGTCCAGGTATAACTGGACAGGTACAAGTCATTTGCATGATGGTGTTCTAAGAGCTGCAACTCACTTCACAGCTGCCCCTGCATCTGTGCAGAGCAGATGTCTGCAGTGTTGTAGGACAGGCATCTGAGTATCATACCTGACAAGTGTATTCAGAGGATGGTCTGTTATTCTCTTGATTTTACTGTGTGTGCAGTACAAAGGAGACATGGGCCAAAGCATCCTCAGCGTTTCTCAGAAGCATGCTTTTGTTCTCGTTCCTGTTCCTCAGCACGTATGGCATACAGCCTGGGCTGCAGGGACCTGCTCTGCAGTGTTCAGCCAAGTGGCATTCATTCCCCAGCTTCCTGTCTGTGAGCTGCTGAAGTCCAGCCTGTTCTGCTTTGTGATAGGGAGGCTGTGTCCCTCACAGCTTGGTTGCCACTAGGTGGGGGCTGTGATCCAGCCTGAGGAGTGCTGGGAGGCTGGGTGAGACCTGGCCTCCTGGCCGACCTGTCTGCAAAGTCTTCAGCCTCCAAGACGAAGCATAAGCAGCAGCTTGTAGACAGCTGTATTCTGCCTCCTGCTGGGCCACTGTGCTTCCTGTGGAGTGGAAAAGTCCTGGTGCCCACACTTCTTGGTGAAGATGGGTAAGGAACTGACAGCACAGGTCCCTGGGGCTGAGGAGGCAGGAGCTATTGCTGAAAAGATTACTGTTGGCATTGCTCAATGCCGTATGGCAGAAGAGGTCCACCTTGATACGGCCAGGAGAAAAGGAGCCCACAGCAGCCCTGTGCCAGCAGTCCTGTGGAAGGATGAAATGTCCAGCACTGCTGTGCTGACAGGTGTTGGTGAGAAGCACGTTTCGTGCTGAGGAGCAGGGGAAGGTTTATTGTCTGGGATCCTCACCCCTTGGTGCGGTGGTTTCTGCTCTTCCTTCCCAGAGAAGCGGCAGTGTGCTGTCAGGACTCTAACTCACAGCTTCTTGAGACATCCCAGCTTGCATTTGCAGTGGAGATTAGAACTTTGAAATAAGAATAAGTGCACAGCAGTTGTGTTCAGACAAAAACGCTAGCCAGCATGAGTAAGTGTCAAGCAATTTCCAGCAGTCTGTTTTACACAAGCTGACTGTGAAAGGTGAGAGAGTGGGAGGTTGAGTCTGAAGTTTGACTTGGGATCTGCTTGGGATGTACCCGTGTCAGGAAAACTAGCAAGAATTTGTGTGTGCTCAGTATACTCTTTACCCAGCTGCTTGGCAGTCACTGACTCAAAAGGCTGCCTGTCTGTGCTTTGGTTCCTATAAATTTGAGGGACTATTTTTGCCAGCTCTACCTTTCTGTGTGAGCAAAGCACAGCAAACTCCCAGCTACTGTGCTTTGTTTGGAAGATACTGGCACTTTACTTGACGTGTTGCACTGACAAGCAGTGCCTAAAAGCAACCACATGGTCAAAATAAACTGGTATGATGTGAATTCTCCATGTTAGGTAGGGAAGAGTCATGGGCTAATTAGACTGGGGAAATGAGCTGTGGACAGTTGGTTTTTTTTTTTTGTACCACGCAGCTCATAAACAAGTCATGCTGCTATTAGTGAGATGTGTCATCTTCAAAATTCTAGGCTAGCTTTAAGTTGCTTCAGGGTCCTTTTGGAGAAGATGCTGTTCCTGTGGTATGTGTTATACTTAAGAGTCCCTCAACATTTTTTATCACTTGCATGTTGATAAGGGTTTCTCATCTCTTCAGACTCAAATAATTGCCCTGCTTCCTGAAATGTCTGCTGAAGGATAGCAATGGGTTTAGTTCTTGTATTTGTTCTGGAACAGAACTCCCAGAAAATAGAGGCTGATTCTTGTTACAAACTGTAAAAGTCTTCAGCTTGAAAGGTACAGCAGAAATGGGCATCATTAAATGACACATGATATTAGGCATGACAGCCTTGGCACGTACCCTGCAGCAGGACAGAGGCAGCACAGAGATCAGTTAGTGCCAACTAATTGAGCAGACCCAGGGTGTGTGCTGTGGATTTGTTCATCATGTGGACATCATTTGACTGGGGCTTCTGTTCTTTTGTTGCATTCCAAATCCCCAGCGTGCACAGAAGTGTTCCCACACTTTATTTTCAGACATCTGACAGACAAGCTGCAGGGTTGAGTTGTCATTTGTGGGGCAGTGTAAGGCCTGTGAAGTTTATCCAGTTCTCTTAAATTACTGCTGCTTAAAAAATGACAATCTAATTGCAGCTTGTGCTTTGGCTTTTAGGGACATGAGATGCAGCACCAGTAGGCAAAGTTGAAACTAAATTATCTGCTATTTTTGCTACAGGGAAATGTAAAGGTAGATGTGGTTTGTGCAGCAGGCTCAGCCCAGCTGTGCAGAGGTGTGCTGCAGCAGAGGCCAGTTAAATTCCTGGAGGCAGGAGGTATGTCTTGACTCTGTTCCCAACCTTCAACAGTACAAAAGCACTTCCTCTCTGCACTCTAAGTGCAATGGAGTACTGTGTTCTAGGCTTTACACCAAAAGGGACTTTCTCCTTGGGACCCAACGCAAAGTAACCCTTAAAGCCTTGTTGACTTCATAGCTGGAATGCTATCTTGGAATTCAGCACTACTTTTACTTAATCTAGGGCTATTCAGGCATCTGATTCTGCTGTCAGAGATCAGTGGAAAGCTGGTGGGACAGGGTACCTCTAAAACCTGTAGATATTACAGCCTGTATTGCCAAAGCTCTTTTATCATAGGTCCTGTCTCTTCCCACTACTTGCATCTTTGTCACAGGGTTCTCCTCTTCTGGTCAGCAGCTACATGAGATGACTACTGTGGCTTTACTGGTGCAACAGGCAGTGAGCAGAAGGGACTTCTGCTTGCATGAAGCGACTCTGCCTGCATGGCTGCAGCTGAGGTTAAAGAAGGTTGACAGCTGTCCACTGTGGTGAAGATAATGTAGGGTGTCCTAAAACCATCTAGCTGCCTGCCTGCCAGTGCGATGTCTGGTAAGTGTGGCTCAGGAAAGGCTGAGTCTAGGGCAAGACCCGGAGCAGAGGAAGAAGATTAAATGGTGCTGCAGGCTGGGATAGCCTGCCACTGGGAAACTCTGGAGGAAAAAGGGAAGGCCAGGGTGAGGTGAGGTGAGGCTGGCAGCAGGAATGGAAATGTTGGGTTCAACCTCCAGCTGTGGTTCTCTTGGATTGCTTGTATTTCTCAGCACCAGCTCAGGGACAGGCAGGGACTGCAACTGAAGCAGTGTGTCTTGTCTGTCTCTGGTGTTTGCTGTGTGGCAGCAAAGAACCCCCCGTCCTGCTCGGTGATGCTGTGAGAACAGCAGAGACTTTGGGTGGCAATGGCTGAGGGAGCTCTCACAGCCTTTGGGAGACACACTGGAGGTGGCTGCTCAGCCTGTGCAGTGGGACAGCAGGGGGCTGCTGGCGCTGCCTGTGTGGATGCCACAGATCAAAGGCTGTCCTTGAGGGAACTTCTCTGAAGCTGCACCGCAGTTTACCTTAGAATTTGAGGCAGAGGCAAAACTTACTTGAACTTGTTCCAGTGGAATGATGGGGATTAATTAGTTAATGAATACTCAGAGATGCAAACTAAGAGCTAGTTGTTCATGCTGCACCGGGGCCAGTATATCGTCCTAAACTCCAGCTCTCTATGCCTGCCAAAGTTTTTTTTTACTACTACACAGGTGGATGTGTTTTCACAAAGGCTTCCACGTAGAAGATTTTAAAAACTAAAATAAAAAGTAACTCCAAGTTTGAAATCATGCTGCCAGGGAGAGTGTTTGCAAGGAAGCAGCCTGATAAACAAGGAAATTTGACAAGTTGCAAAGAGGTGAAATTCTACAGTGTGGCAACAATTCCCAGTCTGTGAGAGCCTCACTGTGGTCCCAACCACCTTGGTATGACTACAGGATTGTCGTTATTACAGCCTCAGGAAACTGGGCAGGACTGAAAAAGTAACAGTGATGTGAAGTTTGTCTGAGTCACTGACTGTATCCCCCGTGGTTCTCTCAGGGCAGCAGCTCTTGGAAGAAGGCAGAGTAGGATGCAGTGAGTGAGAGCTGCTCTTTCTGCTCACCACTAACTTCAGATCTCCTCCCCTAGCCTCTCCCAGTCTTTTGTACTTTCCTTGCTACTCCATCCACTGCAGCATAAACTGGCAGAAGCAGCAGCAGAAGCCCTGCTCCAAAAGCGACTCAAAAAGCCTCGAAACCAGCAGCAGCCATGAACATGAAAACCGTGGTTGTGCTGCTCCTCCTGGCCCTGGCCACAATCTTTGCCCTCATCTGCGTGCTGCTGACCCGGGCACAGGCCCCCAGCTCCTGCCAGCAGCAGCCCTTGGCACAGGAGGAAGCGGACGACGGCCACAGCCGGGTCTTTGCCGACCTGACAGCCGAGGAGCTGGCCCAGGTGGTGCAGTACCTGCGGGTCAGCCTCGGGGTGCCGCTGGCTGATGCAGCGCGTGCCAAACCTTCTGACAACTGCATTGCCTCCGTGGACGTGCAGCTTCCGGCCAAGGCAGAAGTGCTGCGGTTCCTGGATGCCGGAGGGGCTCCCCCGCCCCGCGAGGCGCTGGCTGTGCTGTACTTTGGGGCCCAGGCAGAGCCCAACGTCACCGAGTACGTGGTGGGCCCACTGCCGGCACCGACGTACCACCGGGACATCACGGTGCAGAAGTACGGGGGGAAGGTGCCGTACCACCGCAGACCAGCATTGCCTGCTGAATACAAACAGGTTGCTGATTTTTTTAAAAAACAGGTGTTCCCTGCAGCTCCATTCTTCATGGACCAAGTGATGGAGTATGATGGGGCCAACCTGGCTGCTGTGACAGCTGCTCCCCGTGGATCCCGATCTGGAGATCGGCTCACCTGGTTTGTCATGTTTCAGAATGTGAGTGGGTTCTTCCTGCACCCGATGGGGCTGGAGGTGCTGGTGGACCACAGCAGCCTGGATCTCACACAGTGGGCAGTCCACAGAGTCTTCTACAACGGCCAATACTACAGGGACATGTCTGAGCTGGAGAGAATCTATGTGCAGGGTGGTGTCCATGTGGAGAAGGTAAAAAGAGCACCGTGGGATGGGGACTTCTCGTCTATGAGGCCCCGAGCACCAGTGGCCGCGACGTTCCCCTTGCAGTATGAGCCCCAGGGGCCACGGTACAGCATCAGGAACAACCTCATCATCTTCCAGGCCTGGAGCTTTGCCTTTGGAATGAGTGTGATGACGGGCATGCGCCTGTTTGACATCCGGTTCAATGGGGAGAGGGTTGTGTACGAGATGAGTGTGCAGGAGGCGCTGTCAGTGTATGGCTCCAACTGCCCTGGCGGGATGTCCACCCGCTACATGGACAGCAGCTTTGGCATTGGGCGCTACTCCTCACCCCTGGTGCGTGGGGTCGACTGCCCGTACACGGCCACCTATGTGGACACGCACACCCTACATGAGGGCTTGAGCTACAGCAGGAGGACGGCGGCCCTCTGCATTTTTGAGCAGAACCTGGGCTCCCCTCTGCGGCGCCACTACTCCAACCTACAGTCGATGTACTATGGTGGGATGGTCAACTCCGCGCTGGTCCTTAGATCCATCACCACTGTGGGTAACTACGACTATGTCTGGGACTTCATCTTCTACCAGAACGGGGCCATCGAAGGCAAAGTCCAGGCCACAGGGTACACGAGCTCATCCTTTTTCCATGGGAATGGTCTGCAGTATGGCAATAGAATTTGGGAGCATACCTTGGGTACAATTCACACCCATTTTGTCAACTATAAAGTGGACTTGGATGTGGGAGGTAGGTCTTACCTCCCTTTCATTTATGCCATTATAATGGGGAATGTCTCGGGGGGGATTCTGGTCTCTGGAGTCCCTTGCGGTTGCTGTCAGATCTCTGCTTTTTCTGTCTCCCAACCTTTAATTGCGAAATTCTTTTTCTGTGTGTGTAGTTGTCTGTCCAGGTAATGGAGTTACAGGCAGAGGAAATTGTCTGGGAGCTCTGTATTCATCCTAGGGAAAGTATGAAAAGTAGCAGCTGCAAAACATCTGTGTTTCCTTGAGGCCCCATGTCTGGCACGGTGCATGTTGCCAAAAGCGTGGCCAGGCAGACGGAGCAGGCACAGCCCTGTCTGCAGCACAAGATGTGTGAGCTGGCTCCTGCAATGCCTGGTGCTATTCGTGGCATCCTCTCATGCCTTGGGGAAATCCGTGCTCTCCTGTGTGGTGTGCAGCACTGACCATCTGCACATCTGTCCTTCCATCCCTTTCAAGGAAATCTGTGTAGCTAGATCCTGAGCCTGTGTCTCATCAGCTATTGCGAGGAACCAGAGTATTCCTTGATCCTGCATGTGGGGGCATGGGTTCCTGTGGGAGCAGCTCTCTGCTGCAGTGAAGGGCTGAGTGCTGCCCTGCAGTGCATACAGGCTGAGCACATTGGATTTATTTTCCCTCCCAGGCTGATCCAGATTCTGCAAGTCAGGAAGGCATTGGGGCTGCACTGCAGCAGAGAGCACCAGCTGGTGGTGTGGGATATTTTCTATTGAAACCTGCTCCTGTAAAAGGGGTGGGAAATGTTTTACATATTCAGAGAACCAGCAGGATCCATCGGGAGGCTGTGGGCTGCCTGTGCCCAAGCCCAGCAGCAGTGCAGCTCCATGACTCCTGCTACATGTAGCCTTGAGTAATGCTGCTTTTCGGCATTACGATCAAAAACAGAGCTGAATCTGATCCCCTTCCTGTGAACAAGGCTTGAGAGCACGCTAAAGCAGCTAAAGGTCCATTTATGTGGCTGCTGTATCTCTGCATTCCCTGCTTTGTTTGCACACCTGGAGCACACCTTGGAGCAAGAGCAGTGGAGAAGAGTTATGTCAAGGCCCAAGCAGGGGAAAGGAAGTGTTTATGCTGAGCTGAGTACCAGGACTAGAGGCAATGCAGGGTGTCTGAGGGGTTCTCCTACCCCCTGTGCCGCACAAGCATAGCATCCCCTACACGAGACCTGCTGCAAGGCCTTCAGAGAAGAGGGGCTGGAAGTGAGACAGGAAACAGAAGGATCTGAATTAATGTGGTGGCAGAAAACCAATATGGAGCTGTGAGACTTCATCTTCTACCAGAACAGAACTGTCAAAGCCAAATTCCGGGTCACGGGGTATATGAGCTCCTCCTTTTTCCATGGAGATGGTACAGCAGTAGGATTTAGGATTGTGGCTACAATACGCACTTGTCCTGTCAACTTTAAAATACATTTGGATGTGGGGGGTAGGTCTGGGTTTTGTCTCTTTTGGGCTCTCTATGCGTTCTTTCAGACTCCCCCACTAGTTTTTCTTCCCACATGTAGGGTAGGTGATGTGCTCTCATAGAGAGCGTTAAGGTTGTTTTTTTTCCTCTACAACTTCTGTTTCAATCCGTCCTTGTGCTCTTGTTGACATTTCATATGCTGTAAACTACCACTGTGTATTTTAAATTTGTTTGTTTCTCATTGAGAAATGCCTAGAAACTTAATAACTACTCCTTTTAGGATGATTTTAGAGTCCTTCTGGAGTGGAGGAGGGGAGAAAAAAAAAAAAAAAAAAGGAGGGATTGCAAAATGAAAGAAATAGGGAAAAGACAGGGAATCTCAAACTGTCACTGGAAGGGGAGGTATGGAATTGGAAGTTTTTGTCCACGTCACAAAAAAGATGAGAAGAAGCACGACAGTGGCTGCATGGGTCCATTTCTATAGGTCTCAGCCTCTCATGCCTCTCATGCTGACTTCACCTGCAATGCTGGGGCTTGGTCCCAAAGCTCTGGTCAAACCTTGCAGGTGCTGGAGGCTGGCAGAAGTTTGCTGCTGGGATCCTTCATCATCTCTTGGCCATCCTATCACTAGATTTCTTTGCTCTTGTGCTGCTCCTGTTGCTGTGAGCTCTTGGCTGTTGTATCATCTTTGTGGAAAGACCAGAGCTGCTCCATTTTTGTAATGTGCAGATGTGCTCAGAGCCCATGCTCTATCTGGTGCAGCCTTGCAGGATGCATTCTGGTGAGCAGAAACACGGTGCTTGGGCTGTCAGGTGCTCGGGTTAATCAGACAGGGCTCATACCGGTTCTTCTGTCCTTGGAGAGGTTCCTTTTCTGCTCTCTCATCAAGGACGAGAGTGCACAGGAATGGCACCATATGACACAGTGCTGTGTTTCACCGGCTAAACAAACTTGCATTACAGAGCATGGCATGCCATTGCGCAGTAGAACCAGGGAGCAATAGTTACTCTTGTCTGCAGGTAGTGGTGATTGGAGCCTGGGGTGCAGGAAGGGTCAATGGCGAGAGTGGGACCTGACTGCAGGAAAGTTCTCAGCTGCTTTGCTTTGTCCTCCTAGAGGTGAAGAACTCTTTGGTGGCCCATGACATGGCATTTGAGGTGGCACAGGCTCCCTGGAACCCAGAGCAGCAGATTGAGCGTCCACGGCTCACTGAGAAGGCCCTGGACACAGAGGACCAGGCTGCCTTCCGGCTCCACTCCACGATGCCCAGATACATCTACTTTGCAACCAACAAAAAAAACAAGTGGGGCCACCAACGTGGCTACAGGATTCAAATCATCAGCTTTGCAGGGGATCACATTCCCGAAGCCAGCTCCATGGAGAGGGCCATCAGCTGGGCAAGGTCAGACTGCTCTGATGGGGTCACTGAGTACTCTGCAATGCCTCCAGCCTCACTGGCTGAAGCGGTGCTGCAGGGATGCTTCCTGTGGGGAGGGAGGGGATTGATGCAGCCCGGTACTTTGGTTACTCCATAGGACCAGCCTGGTAATCTGCAGGCTCCAGGGAGCAGCCTTTAGCTCTGCCCTGCCCCCAGGGTCCTGTCTCTGTCCTTGTTCCCAGGTACAAGCTGGCTGTCACCAGGCGGAAGGAGGAAGAACCCACCAGCACCAGTGTCTACAACCAGAACGACCCTTGGACCCCCACTGTCGCTTTTGCTGACTACATCAATAATGAAACTATCACCAATGAGGTGAGGAGGGGCTGGAGGCATGGGCTGCTGGTGCCGGCCACACCACCTCACACATTGCTCATGGGATCCACTGGGACAGCAGCAAAGCATGAGGAGAGCGGGTTGGAGCGTTGCTGGGCTGTAGGAACATGGGCTGTGGGTGCCCACTGAGGTACCCTCTGTTCTCCTGTGCCCCAGGCACAGATTTCAGTCAAAAATAACCGCACTCATGTACCTCCTCCTGCCTAGGATCTTGTGGCCTGGATAACTGCTGGTTTCCTCCATATCCCTCACTCAGAAGATATTCCCAACACCTTGACGGTGGGAAATTCAGTTGGTTTTCTCCTGAGACCCTACAACTACTACGACTTGGACCCCTCCATTTACTCACCCGATGGTGTGTTTTTCACCAGCGAGCAGAACTTCATGGCATGTGAGGTTAACCCCATCACCTGCCTGTCCCAAACTGCCTCCTGCTTGCCAAGCTTCCCCCCATTCACCTATGACGGATTCCAAAATATCAGCAGGCTTTAAAGGTCCAGGAAGCAGGATTAGAGGCTGACTGATCTCCCATGGATATTCATTTCTTTTAGTGGCATTTTCTTTGTTTGCAGTTCTGTAACAACTTTACTTTTTATTGTGGCTTTTATAATGTAGTGATCTGTATGAGTGAAGCATGCTGCCCAGAAGAGATCTGCAGAGTCTCTGCTAACTGCTGCATGCCAGGGGTAAAAGTGAGGAGAACATGCTCTTCCTCTGTTGTAGCAACAAATGCTGTGTAGTGCCAATGTCAGGTTAAAAAAAAAAAAAAAAGAAAAAAGAAAAAAATCCAGTGCTATTCTGCCTGTCTTGTTTTACGCTTCCAGCAATGGCTGCTGGGGGGTCCTGGGGCACAGTGTTCAGCGCATGGAAGGCGAGGAGAAGGCAGTGCCGGGGGCACACTCCTTTCCTCCCCGCTGTCCGCCTGCGTCCTCCTTGTGCTGCAGCGAAGCCTGTGGGTCAAACAGGGAAGGACAGGAGCAGAGAGTTCGTTTAAAACTGTGGTCTGCTGGAGGAAGCAGAGCAGAGTTGCCTTTTATGGCTTCCAGCAAATCCAGGCATGTCTGAGAGCACTGCAGTGCGCCCTCCCTATGAGCTCATCCAGGCCATCCTCTCTTCAGAAGACAAGGGAGAAAAAACGCCCAGCCCACCAAATCCAAGCTGGGAGAAGCAGCGACTCAAAAAGCCTCGAAACCAGCAGCAGCCATGAACATGAAAACCGTGGTTGTGCTGCTCCTCCTGGCCCTGGCCACAATCTTTGCCCTCGTCTGCGTGCTGCTGACCCGGGCACGCGTCCCCAGCTCCTGCCAGCAGCAGCCCTTGGCACAGGAGGAAGCGGACGACGGCCACAGCCGGGTCTTTGCCGACCTGACAACCGAGGAGCTGGCCCAGGTGGTGCAGTACCTGCGGGTCAGCCTCGGGGTGCCGCTGGCTGATGCAGCGCGTGCCAAACCTTCTGACAACTGCATTGCCTCCGTGGACGTGCAGCTTCCAGCCAAGGCAGAAGTGCTGCGGTTCCTGGATGTCGGAGGGGCTCCCCCACCCCGCGAGGCGCTGGCTGTGCTGTACTTTGGGGCCCAGGCAGAGCCCAACGTCACCGAGTACGTGGTGGGCCCACTGCCGGCACCGACGTACCACCGGGACATCACGGTGCAGAAGTACGGGGGGAAGGTGCCGTACCACCGCAGAGCTGTCACTGGTGTGGAGTATGCAGCCATCAACGAGCTCATCCAGAAGGAGCTGAGGAAGGCACCACGCTTCCTCGCTGCATGCTGTGCATCTGATGGAACCGACCTGGCCACTATCACCACTGCACCCCGTGGCCTCAAGTCCGGAGACCGCACCACGTGGTTTGTCCTCTTCCATGGCATTGCTGGCAGTGGTTACTTCGTCCTGCCTGTGGGGCTGGAGGTGCTGGTGGAGCATGGGCCGCTCGATGTCTCCCAGTGGTACCTGCGCCAGGTCTTCTACAATGGACGCTACTTCCACAGCACCGCTGAGCTGGAGAATGCATTTGTGACCAAGTCGCTGAAGGTGATTGTGGTTCAGAAGCCCCAGGAAGACACGGTGCTGGGCTCCATGAGACCCCTCCGCTCACCTGGTGCTCCGGGGCCACTTCAGTTTGAGCCCCAGGGGCCGCGGTACAGCGTCAGGGACAACCGTGTCACCTACCACGGCTGGAGCATTGCTTTTGGCATGAACCCCAACACTGGCCCACGGCTCTTCGACATCCGTTTCCGCGGGGAAAGAATAATCTATGAGCTGAGCCTGCAGGAAGCCTTGGCTCTGTATGGCTCCAACTGCCCTGGGGGTATGTCCACCCGCTACCTCGATGGCAGTTTTGGCATCGGCAGATTTGCCTACGAGCTGGTCAGAGGTGTTGACTGTCCCTACATGGCCACCTATGTGGATCGGCACTACCTGTCCGAGTCAGATGTCCCCAGAACCAACCAGAATTCACTCTGCATTTTTGAGCACGACACTTCCCTTCCTCTGCGGCGGCACTTCTCTGATGCACACTCCTTGTACTATGGAGGGCTGCGGAAGAACACCCTGGTTATTCGTGCTGTCTCCACACTCGTTAACTATGACTACGTCTGGGACTTCATGTTCTACAGCAATGGGGCTGTGGAGGTCCGGGTCCATGCCACCGGCTACATCAGTTCCTCCTTCCTCCATGACCAGGGCACTGACTATGGCAACAGAGTTGGGCCACACACACTGGGGACGATGCACCTGCACCACATTCACTACAAGGTAGACCTGGATATTGATGGTAGGTCTCATCTTGTGCGGTCACCAGGGCTTGAGAAGGCCATTGGCCCCGTGGGTGAGCGCTTTGCCTACAGACATGCTCTGTATCTCAAAATGCTGCTCTTTAGCTGCATTTCTTGGTGAGATGCAGCCCTACCCAGGGTGTGGAATTCAAGGGGATTCTCCCTTTTACTTCATAGGGCAGCTGAACTCACTGGAGTCCCATGACATGGGGTACCAGACAGTGAGCATCCCCTGGAGCCCAGAGAACACCCTGCAGCAGCCGTTCCTCCGCCGGGAGAGGCTGGAGAGAGAGAATGAGGCGGCGTTCCCCCTCAATGCCTCTCTCCCCCGCTACCTCTCCTTCACCGGCCCAAAGCCCAACCGCTGGGGACACCTTCGCAGCTATCGAGTGCAGGTGGTCAGCTTCCCCGGGGAGCACCTGCCCACCAGCAGCCCCATGGAGAAAGCCATCAGTTGGGGCAGGTAGGTGGGGGGCTGAGGCCGCAAGCTGCAATTGTGCTGCAAGCAGCCTAGGCACGCAGTGCGTGGGCAGCCCTGTGTTCTGCACCAAGGGGACCCACTAATACCCGTCCTGCGGGTGCTGAGAAGCTTCCCAGCCACCCATCCCCAGCCTGATCCCCTCCTGCTGACAAGCCTGTCTGCAGGGAAGGGTTAAATAACAAGCTCGTCTACTTCTTGTCTCTGACAGTCCCTACAAAAATTGCTCAATGGCGTCTGTTCATAGTAGTTCCCAGGCAGGAATCTGACCCCAGATAAGTTTAATTTAGAACGATCACATGTTTTCCCAAGGGCTGCATTGGTATCTGTAGGTCTTGACTCCTCTGCAGAAGGACAGGATGCCTCTTGGAAAAATGTTTTGGAAAACTGCAGTGCTGGCTTGTGGCCAGGGTGAAATTTAACGGCCTGTGTTCTGGGGGAGGTTGCATAATTTAGACCTAAAGTCAAAGCATTGGGCTGGCAAGTCCCATAGTTCTGGAGCTGCCACTTGTGCTGCACCCACTCTATGCCCTGCCTGGTGTCACAGTGCCTCCTGCTCTAACAGGTACAAGCTGGCTGTCACCAGGAGGAAGGAGGAGGAACCCACCAGCACCAGTGTCTACAACCAGAATGACCCTTGGACACCCACTGTCACTTTTGCTGACTTCATCAATGATGAAACCATCGCTAACGAGGTGAGTGGGAGTATTGAGCTCCATAGGACTGCTTGTGGCTGGGACTTCATGGTCACAGCGGGTGGGGGAACAGGGCTGGAACGGTCGGTGCAGCTGATGAGATGCTCTGGTCTCCCCTTTTTGTCCTAGGACCTGGTTGCGTGGATTTCTGTGGGGTTCCTTCATGTTCCTCATGCTGAGGACATCCCCAACACAGTGACTGTGGGGAACAGTGTCGGCTTTTTCCTGAGGCCCTACAACTACTTTGACGAGGACCCCTCGCTGTACTCGCCTGACAGCATCTATTTCAGCAGCGAGCAGGAGATAGGGGTGTGTGGAGCCAACCCCCTCGCCTGCCTGCCTGCGGCCACCTGTGCCCCACGCCTGTCACCCTTCCAATACAGTGGCTTTGTCAACATCAGTCTGGGCTCCCCATTTGGTGGGCACTAATGGGGTCAAAAAGGAGGACAGGTGCTGGCACAGACAGCCAGTGTCCAGCCATTGGGCTGCATTCCTGGAGGGCAGGAATGGTGGAGGGAGTGGTGGAGGGAGTGCAGCCAGCTGGCTGGGACCTGCCCTGCTCACTTCCTCCTTCAGGTCACGGATGTGAGGCTCTATCCTACCGAGGTAGTCAGGTGCCTCTGTGGTGATGGAGCTGCCCTTGGAGCTTTGCTGTTTGGTGACTGCTCCTCCAGGTGATGCTGGGTGCCAGCTGCTGTGGCAGCACTGAGCGCTGGGAATAGTACTGGGGATAAGGATGCTGCACAGGATGAACATGCTGCACGATGGCAGCCTGGTGCCCAGCTAGCTCCAATAAAGAAGCATGTTAATGCATTTTCTGACCCATCTCTTGCATAGCTCGTCAGCATGGCTTCTGATGATCAGATCCTGGACGCTGGTGGTGTTATGAGGCTGTATTGGTTTGCAGGCATTCACCAGAGAGGGCAAAGTTTCAGTGGTGGGCACAATGCCCAGCATGGCCGTGTGAGTGTACACTGGCTGTACTCTTGGACCCTGTGTGCTGGCAGGACCCTTCTGCAGCAAAATATGGGATAAACAAAGGAGTTAATGTGTAATAGCTGTATCAAGCTGGATTAATTGGTTCTGCCTTGGCTGCTGGCTGGAGCCTTGTTCTCACCCCCCAGCTTGGGGTCCCTTGCTCCAGTGCCTGCACAGCCCCAGCTTGCAGGAGCATGGAACCCATCCCCACTGCACTGGGCTGGGTTGGGGCTGCGGTATGCCAGGATTCTGTGAGGTTTGTCTCCAGCCCTGGCACATAGCAGGCAGTTGGCTACTGTGTCGCCAGGAGCTGCAAAGGGATTTGCCCTCCCCAGGGGCTGTGACATGATGGCCTGCACCTCGGATTGCAGCAGAATGGAGGCACTGCAACATGGGGAAGTGATTTGGGGTGGGATTAGTTGCATTGCATGCTTAGATGATGCCTGGGGGTATCAGTCCTGGGAGCCTGGGGGAACAGATACAGCGCTCCCTGTGCAGGGACGTACTCCTGTGTGTTTACAGGTACTGCCTGGACTCTGACCACATGCTGACGCAGGCAGTGGTGACCTTGTTTCCAGCCCCAGCACTGCGATGGACTGAGAACCTTCTGGATGAAACCTTGGTGCTAAGGGGCAGCCAAGCGTGACAGTGTGCGCTGCGCGTGCCTTGGCCATGTGTGGTGGCTTGGGAACCGTGGGGACGCCGTGTCCTGGAGCCAGCTGCTGTCACTGCAGGGCATGCAGCTCCTGGGTTGCCAGCTCATCTGGCTGTGACTGTAGGGGAGCCATTGTTCCCATTCCAGTTCCTGGCCTCTCCTAAGTGCAATCCCAATTTTGTTGCTGTGATTCTTTCCAAAGGGGCTGGAGTATGCTTGTCCTGCTTGTCCCCATCCCCCAGTTCCTTTTGCTCCCATTTCCTACAGCATAACTTTTGAGGGATTAATTGCTAACTGTTTCAAAAGATATTGGATGTGGGAGCCAAGCCCATTGAATTCCTTTGTGCTGGCCAAAAGCTCTCAGCTGAGGACACCAAAATGAGCTGCTGAGGAATTTAGTTTTGCAAGAGTAATTCTATTTCTGTGCAAACTTCTGCTCCATTTTGCATGCTGGGGGTTAGGATGCTGTGCTCTCCCTCAAGCGTGGCTTTCCCTGCCAGCACAGAGCAGATGTTCTGGGGCTGGACCCTGCCAGCCTGCACCAAGGTTTACCTGTGCTCACACTTCCCTTTCCTGGGAGCATCAGAGCAGCCCCAGCTCATCAGGACACCAAGACTCAGCTGACTGCAGAGTGCCGGTGATGCTGCTGCTCTGCCGTGTTATCTCCAGCCTCTTGCTGCTCTGCACCTCAAGGTAGATCTCTAAATATTTTCACTGCCCTAAATAAATTGGTGTTTTCCAATAAAAACAGTCCTTCCTGGGCCTGGCAGCTGCAAGACATCATGGTGGTCGCTTGAGGCAGGGGGCAGGAAGAGGGAGGACGCTGCCCTGTGCCTCCCGCTGCTGCTGGACACAGCCTCTGCATTGCGTCAAACTGCACCATGGAGCAGTTCAAGGCTCCTGACCTGAACTTTCTAGAGAAGTGAGAGATAAGTGGTGCATTTTCACTGGCTGCTAATCATTAACACTCTGCTGTCTGCTCCTGCTGTGTGTACAGCTGTGTGCCTGAGGCTCTGGCCAGGTGCCTCGTGCTGCTCTGCTGTGTGTCCCTGCAGCAGCCAGGGATGGACAGCTGGATTTGTCCTGCTGGACTGACCCCAGTGTTCCAGGATCCTGGGGATCCTGTGTTACCCGTTCACCCTTAACTCCCAGAGAGGAACAGGAAAATAGATCTGTCAGAGCTGCATGGCTGGGGTGGAAAGATGACAGGCAGGGACCCTGTGTGACAAGGGATGTCTTCAGCTCCATCTGCATTTCTGAGGGCTGGCAGGGCTGGAAGGATTAACCTGGGGATGTGCTAGTTAGGATCCTCTCCCTACCTGTTTTGCACAGGTCCTGAAATCCTACAGATCTTGGGAAAACACTGCTGGCAGCCAAGACCTCACCAGGCCTTGCTCTGGGGTTCTCCTGAAACAGCTTGGGAAGTTTCCTGCTGAAGAGAGCACTGGTTGTGTCAGCCTGGCAGACTGTGATAACAGTGCTTTGTCATCAGGTGCAGGTTTCAGAGGGGGTCAGGGTATTGGGCAGCCCCTGCTCTATACAGAACCTGATCCACAGAGGGATAGGATAAATGCTATTCCATCCCTCTGCAGGTATTCAAATCTCTCCCCTGCTAGTGAACATTGGGGTTCACTAGCATATCAGGTTTCATTTTATTTTTTTTTTGTGGGGGAGCCAGACAGAGCAGGGGCTGCAGAATCCCCCCCGAGTAATGGGGCAGTGAAGGGTTAAGGCTCCTACAGGGCGTACCCTATGCCGCCCTGCGCCTGTTTTTCCCCTTTTTGCAAGTTGTTCCAAGCACGTTTGTAACAACCCGCCAGTGATGCACCCTTCAGCAAAAGTGGTTTGGGTCCAAAGATCAGTGCTGGGGCAAGTGACCTATCGGCAGCAAACACGAACCCGTGGGGTATAAAACTGCGGTGGAGCACGGGACAGCCTGAACCAGGCAGGAGGCCGTGTAGGAGGATGGAAACCCCCATGAACCTCCTGCATGATGCAGGCATCCAGGCGACGCACTGGCTGCAGGAGCATTTCCAGGGCTCTCAGGATTGGTTCCTCTTTATCTCCTTTGCTGCAGACCTCAGGAACACTTTCTTTGTTCTTTTCCCTATCTGGTTCCACTTGTGTGAGCCAGTGGGCATCCGGCTTATCTGGGTGGCCGTGATCGGGGACTGGCTCAACCTCGTCTTCAAGTGGTGAGTAGTGCTGTGCTGCAGCTCGCTGCAGGTTCACCAACATGGCTGGATTAATATAGCCAGATGTGTGCCCAGTCCTGATGTACCGCCTTATACTCTAAGCATGTGATGAGGACAGGTGGCCTCTGCCTATGCTGGCATAATAGGATGGCTCCCCATAGCCTGAAAAGGCATGGAAAGAGCAGACATACCCTCTTCTCTGAATATCAGCTTGCTCCCAGGGCATTCCTGCTCCTTGTCTTAAGGGTTTGGGGATGGGGACAGGGACAGGTGCTGTCTGGGTGATATTTTGACGCCTTCCAGCTCACAGCCAGAGCTGGAACCACAGCCCATTCTGGTGCCCAGGACGACCAAAGATCCCTTTCTACTTTCATTTCAGGATCCTGTTTGGTGAGAGGCCATACTGGTGGGTGCATGAAACTGATTATTACAGCAACACCTCTGCGCCGGCCATCCAGCAGTTCCCACTCACCTGCGAGACTGGCCCCGGTAGGGTCCCCTGCTCTGACAAAAGCAGTTGGCACTTTGCCCAGGGAACCAGGAGTCCTGATCCTAGGCTGGGGTGGTGCTGGCACAGCCAGGGCTGTTATCTCAGCCATTATCACTGAGCTGTGGGGCCGCTGCCATGTTCTGGTGCAGAGCAGACTCTTACCCTTGGTGTGTGCAGATGTGGCAATTTAGCACAAACTTGGCCTGTGGGGGGCTGCAGAGATGGTGGGGACCTGGATCATCTTGTGATGGGGAAATGCTGAGAGCCCTGGTGCGGCTCACTTGGCAAAGAGAAGGTATTGAGGGGATCTGATCAGTATCTGACGCAAGGAGGCCAGGATCCATTAGGTGGTGACCAGCACCAGAACAGGGAACATTGGCACAGGGAGTTCTATCTGACTGCGAGGAAGAACTTCTGTGATGTGAGAGTGGTGGAGCTCTGGCACAGTTGCCCAGATTGGTGCTGGAGTCTCCTTCTTTGGAGATACCCAAATCCATCGGGACTCATTCCTGTGCAACCTGCTCTGGGGAAACTGCTAGGAGGGGCCGGGAGAGGTCGGGGGGGTTGAACTGGGAGAGCTCCAGAGGTCCCTTCTGCCTCCCACAGTTCTGTGATTCTGTGCTCCCTGTGCCACGGTATCACCTGCCTGCAGGCTAGGAATGGGTGCTCAGTGTGGGACCCGCTGGGGCACGAGGGTAGCAGGGACAGCCTGCTCTGAGGGGGCTGACCTAAGCCCTGCTTCTTACCCAGGGAGCCCCTCCGGCCATGCCATGGGTGCAGCAGGAGTGTACTACGTCATGGTGACTGCCCTGCTTTCCATCGCCATGGGCAAGAAGCAATCAAAAACACTGAAGTACTGGTGAGTGTATGCAAGCCCTGACCCCGAGATGAAAGGGATGCAGGTAGACCTGTTTAGGTAGCAGCACTACAATGCTCTAGCACCACTCAAAGTCCATGGTGGCAGCATGTGCCAGTTTTGGCACTGATGGAACTGTTTTTACCCCTTGCAGGATTCTGTGGATCATGCTGTGGACGGGGTTCTGGGCCGTTCAGGTCTGTGTCTGTCTGTCCCGTGTTTTCATCGCTGCCCACTTTCCACATCAGGTCATCGCAGGGGTCATATCTGGTGAGCTCACTTTGGTTCTGTCCCTTCGACAACTTAGCACACCCCTGTGCTCCCATTGTGTGCACGAGAAAGGAGCAGGAGCAAGCAAGAACTGCAGACAGTTGCTCTGCACTTGTTGCTGTTGAGAAGGAGCCTTTGTCCATGTGCCATTGGATGTGGGCTGGGGGACATGGGAAGAGGAATTTGAGAGCATAAGGGTGCAGCAGTGACCGTCAGGTCTGCACCGCACTCTGGAGCCGCTCTTAATCTCACTCTGACTGCTAGTACCTCTTCTCCTGGCAGGTATGGCCGTGGCTGAGACCTTCCAGCACATCCATTCCATCTACCATGCCAGCCTCCGCAGGTATCTGGGCGTCACCTTCTTCCTCTTCAGCTTCGCCTTGGGCTTCTACCTGCTACTGCGTGTGCTTGGTGTTGAATTGCTCTGGACTCTGGAGAAAGCACAGAGGTGGTGTGCCCGTCCTGAGTGGGTCCACATCGACACCACACCCTTCGCCAGCCTTCTTCGCAACCTGGGCATCCTCTTTGGGCTGGGGCTGGCCCTGAGTTCCCACATGTACCTGGAGAGCTGCCGCGGGAAGCAAGGCCACCAGCTGTCCTTCCGCCTAGGCTGTGCTGCCGCCTCGCTGCTGGTCCTGCACCTCTTTGATGCCTTCAAGCCGCCCTCGCACATGCAGCTGCTCTTCTATGTCCTTTCCTTCTGCAAGAGCGCAGCTGTGCCACTGGCCACCGTCGGCCTCATCCCCTACTGCATCTCTCAGTTTCTGGCCACGCAGGACAAAAAGGGTGTCTAGGGACAGGTAACAGTGTGGCCACCCTGGCTCAGGAACCACGGGATTGTGGGGGTTGTGCTGGTTTCTCTCCATTACAGCTTCAAGGGCTGACTCCAACATGGCGTGCACCCACGGTGCCAGATGCGCCACAGGTGCCTGTGGCACAAGGGACAGAGACAGCAGGAGCAAGGCACTCTCAGTTGTGGGTGCTCAAAGGCTGTGGCAAGGCAGCTCTGCAGGGGGACAGGCGGGAGATGGAAACAAACACCAGCTCGTGGAAGCCTCCAGCCCCAAGGCTCCTCAGCCCCTGCCCAGTGCTCACTGGTCAGTGAGAACCACTGCCCACTGTTCACTGCTGCGTGGAGCAGCTCTGGGTACGTGTGTGTATACATGCACGTATATGTAGTGCTGTGTCTCTAAACAAGGCGTATTTTATTAAAGATGAAGATGTATTTTATTGGCGAGTTCAGCTGTCTTGTGGGTGTGGGGATGGTGCCCAAGTGCCATCCCCAGGGACAGGGAAGCTGTTGGTGCTGAGAAGGATATTCCTTCTCAGGTCCTGCTCCTGCCTGCTGCAAGACATGGCTGGAAGCACAAGGAGAGGTGGAACCAGGCTTCTCCAAGTCTTCCTGCTGCCTAGAACATACAGGCATGTAAAGGAGAACTCAGGAGTTCTCCTTGGGAAGGTGCACGGAGGTGTCCTGACTGAAGTTCAGCAGTGACTGCACAGAGGGCAGGGAGGCAAAGCTGCTTTTGTGCTCTTTATTCAGGGACCCTGTATGCACCACACGCCAGCAATGAAAACACATTTGTGCCACCTCACTACTGAGGGCAGCAAGTAGAGCTTCAAGACCCAGCAGGTCTGTGTGGGGCCGGTGCAGTGCTGCTTGGCAATCCCACACCCCCTGTACCCTGCCCCATTAGCAGAACAGCTGACTGTGATAGGAGTGACTCCAGTACGTAAACCCACAAAGCACGGTTAAAGCTCATGACAGCAATCAGTGCATGCTGGCAACTGTCAGAGACAGTGCACGTACAAGGTGCATGCAGCTCAGATATGGTGTCTAATGCTGCATGCACAGGGTGATAAAGACCAAACAGCAAATCATTCGAGTCCCATGTTAAAATCCCATCAAAGTGGGAAAGTGGGCTGTAAACATCCCATCAAAGTGGGCAAAGTGGGCTGTAAACATCTAAAGATGGAGTTCAGCTGTGAAGCTTGTTTTTCACAGGAAAAGCTTCAATAGGAAGCTTACCTAGATTAGTAACTCCCAGGTTTCCACTGACTGGGAAAGGACAGTGTTGACCAAGTTGTCAGTCTAGCTGGGCAAGGATGCAGCCAGCACCTCTGGGCACCCTGCGTGTCGGGAAAAAGGACTGCTGCTTCCCCTCCTCCTGCAGTAAAGTGTCACAACAGGAGCTGATGGCCTGCACAGCCTTGTCCCTTAGCCTGATCCTGCTACTCACAAACAGCTCAATAGCTGGCAGAGGGCTCTGCTGTTCGTTGAGTGACAGCGCAACATAGGCAAGCGAGGAAACCATGTGAGGCTGCTGCTATCCTATACACTCACGATAAACATCTTTAAGATGGAGATTTGTCTGTCTCTATTTTTCTGTTTATTATGAACATCTGGACTAAACCTGCCATGCTGGTTCTAGGAGGGAAAAAAAACAATACCTAGACCCATATCAGGTGTTTTTTGACCATGGCTCTTCAGTGCCCCTTTTGCTTCTGCAGCTGAAGTTATAGCAGCCTTGGGGACTGCTGGCAGAAATGGCAAGCTGGAGAGACATGGAGTAGTAGTCCTTCCTAACTACATGGGATTTTATGTGAGATTTTTTTTGTCTTTATTTTCTGGGAGAGAACTTAGTGGAGATCATACAAAGCAGGGATGACAGCCCTACTTTTAAAATTCTTTCTTTATGCTTCATCTCTCTGTTGACTGATGAATTCCTGGAGCAGAGCTTGCACTTCTCCTCGACGACTCATCTTGGTTGCCTTGCCCTGGTAGCGGCCTCGCTTCCCAGCTCCTTTGCCTTCCAGCAGCTCTGCCACCCTGCAGAAACGTCAGGACATGCTGAAGGCCACTCACTTGCAGAGGAAAGTAGCTTGCCCTTACATGCTCAGTGAGCATAGAAGGCTCCATGCCCTAATTACACTGCTCAGCTGCTTGGGCAGAAGTCTCACTAATTTTAAAGAAAACATAGAACACAGTACCTGGGACCTAAATTCTCAACTGCTTCAACAGGGCCAGCTAGAAGAAAGAGTCCTGCTTCTTTTTCATCTCCCACAGTCAGGAACAGCAGGATTTCCTGTAGATGGAGAGGGATGATGCTCCCAAAGGGCCAGTGCCCTCCTTTTCCCATTAAGACATTAAAACAAGTAGTAAGTTTGTGCTCATTACTGAAACTCAATTTGGAGTAAAAGGGAGGGAGCTTTTGAAGCTTTCAGACTGAATTGTACATTGTGGGAGACCGAGCAGGTACCAGAGTTAGGTTGTCCAAAGTTAGCATGTCCAAAGAGGATCTGCATGGCTTTTTGGGGATAAGCTCTTCCACACTGCTCTGAATTTTCACTACTGCATTTTTTGACTATTGAGGATCCCCAGCACCCTGAGGCTGCTGGGAACCACAACCTCTTCTGCAAGGAAAGAGACTTGTAGCTTGTGACTGGTGCAAATGGAAGCCTATCCAGCCTTGCTACAAAGTTGAATGACAACACCACTGGTGGCAGGTTAGTCTGCATCAACGACTCACCTCTTTCCCAATCTCATTAGCAATGATGTTCATAAACTCAGAGTCACCCTCTTTCCTGCATAGACAGGTAAAAAGCCACTTCAGAGAAAAAAAAAAAGTATACATACCCACACCAGAGTCCAAAACATTAATAACAAACTGTAGGCAATGATTCTCCAAGCTTAGCTTTTCTCAGTTTTCCATTTTGTTTGCTTAAGAATAAAATTTCCACTAACATCAGAGAAGTTGAAAGGTAAGATCTGCAAGCACAACCTATGATTGTGTCTGAGGTTTTGGTCTCTTGCAATCAGGCTGCAGATTATTTTCTTTCTATACATATAAATCCTTTTTATAATTTCTTGTGGGTATATTAGGAATTATTTAAGTGTTTAAGAAATTAGGCTCCTCAGTTTTATTTGAAAATACTGTGAGCAAAAAGACATGAGACAATCACTTCTTAGCTATAGCATCAGAGGAATTCAGTAACTGAATTACTAACACATTGCTTTAACTATACAACCTTTCAGCAGGCCCAGACAGTTCTTTCCACCTTGTTTGTAGCTGTCCTTGAGAAATTTTTGACTTTTAAAAATATAATTGTCATAAACAGGCCTGAATAGGTGTCAAGGAAATGCAGCTCTCACAAATCATATACCATGGGTTCTTATCCTTTTTCCTGAACTCCTCCATACCTGTGTAACACAAACAGCGGACTTTGAACAGGTTTGCTTTTGAAATCCCGGGCTATCAAAACAGCAATGTCTCTTAGCAGGTTCAAATTATTCTGAAAGAAAAGTGAAAAAGCAGCACCACAGATGGTTAACCAGCGTGAACTGATATGTGCTCGCAGAATTGGAAGCAGTTTTGATAAAAACGGACGCCTCAATTTCAGGTCAGCTCTACAGGAAGCAGACAGTCTGCTTTCCTCAGCCAACCTCATACCTTCTGAAGCAGTTTCACAGAACTCTGCAATCTCTTCACGGCCTCTACATGCTCACCTGGTCCATTTCTGAAAGAAAAAGGAAAATTTGGATCACTGCTCTCAAGTGGGTAATATATAATAAAAAACATCATGTAGAAGCACCTGAGACTTATGCTACATTTGTCAGAAGGAAAAATAAAGATGAAAGAACCAAAGTGAAAAGGGTATTACTTCAGCAGTGAGGTCAGGGCCTTCTCAGTACGGTGACTTTGTTCAACTGACTTCAGCACTCTATTTCCTGCCAGGAAAACCAAGTTGGTTTTGTTCTTTTTCCCTTTCTCTGTGCAAAGAAGTTTAATAACCTTAAACAGAAAAATACCTTGGTTAGAAAAGGAGAATGGTATTTTGCTTTTATCCTCATAGGTGGTCACCTCTGCCCATTTTCCCTCCAGGACAATTTCAAGCAGACCCTGTACCTCCAGGATTTCTGCTGTCCTTGAGCTGTATGTGTGTGCTGAGGGCTCCTGGAGGTAATGTGGCTGCAGCCCCCTACCTGCAAGTCACTCAGGTTGGAGACATGAGTCCCACAGCACATGTTGGAGTCTATGCCTTCAATGTCTACAACTCGAACTGGCCCCGTATGGTCAACTGGTAAGCCACGGCTTCTCACCTAGCAGAGCAGGAGAATGGCAGACAAACCAATATCCATGCTGCAAGTGCTTTGGTCCCATGGGTACTGCCAGCTTCCTTCACTCCCATCACTTACTGTTTCAACCTCAGAGTCATCTGCAGCCAACTCCCGCACTGTCACAGGTATCCTCTCTCGGATCTTCTCATTCACGCTCTGCTCCAGCGCTGCCATTTGCTCTGTGGTCATGGAGGGGGTGTCCAGCTCAATGACACTCTGCTGCCGGCCCAGCTCCCTGCACAGATGAAGAACATCTGCTGCTGTGAAGAGCAGATGGAAGATCCCTCCAGGCAGCACCAAGTGCCACCTGAGAGGAGCTGCTGGGAATGTGACTGAAACCAAATGCTTCTCTCCCTGCTATTTAAAGGGCATCAGATGCAATCACGCCCATGCAACAGGACAAGAGAAAGCAAGCAGTTTACACAGCTTGTCTTATTTCAGCCCAGGCCATCTGAGCTTAGGCGAAATATCGCAGCACATGCTGCTTTCCATTACCAACGTGCACCCCCTCCTGGCCTGGTGGCACACACACCAGGTGAGACTAAGGTTAATGGCTGCTTTTCCAGCTCACCATGAAGTTGTTTTGAATCCAAACATCCGCTCTGCCATGGCAGTGATGAGGTGCTGTCCTGGAAGAGATGTGCAAGCAGTGGCTTTGAGCTCGAGATGCTGGAAAGGGTCCTCCACCAAACCGCACAGTTATTCTGCCGACGTTCCCCGCGGTGTTTGGGCCCGGCCCAGGCGCTGGGAGGCTGCCGGCGGCAGGTGGAGGGGCAGCTGTCACCGGGTGGCCCTGCGGAAACCCCGGGGCACCACGGTGCACTTCGAGTGTCTCCGGCGCACCGCGCATCGCCTCCAGCCCCGCGAAGCCACCTCACGAGCACGGTGGGGACAACCGGGGGGGCGGGAGGGAACTGGCGGGCGAACCGGGAAGGGACGAAGCGCGCGCCGCCCTCCTCACCCGCCCGGCCCCGCACCCGAGTGCTGCTGCATGTGATCGAAGCGGCGCTCCCAGTCCAACGACAGCAGCACGGCGCTGCCCGGCTCCAGCGCCGTCTCCACGAAGTGTACGGCCTGGGCGCCGCGCCGGGTGACGCGCAGCACTGGGACGGCGCCGATGAGGCCGCGGTCATCGGGCTGAGGAGACAGAGAGCCGTCGTCCGGGCCCGGCCGCGCCGCCCCGCTCCTCGCCCGGCCCCGGCCGTACCTGCCCGCCGCCCTCGGGGAAGAGGATCGTGTCCTCCAGCACCACCTGGAAGCCGCGCGTCGGCTCCCCGCCGCCCTCGGGCCGCAGCTCGGCCTCCCGGCACGACACCACCCTCGTGGCGAACTGCAAAGCAGATGGGGCGGCGGCACCGTGAGGGGCCGGACTGGACCGGGCCGCGCGGCGCCGCCAGCCCCGCTGCTACCTGCCGGGCCCAGCTGTCCCGCTGGCAATGGAACACCATAGCGGCGGCCCGGGCTGCGTAGAGAGGGCGAGCGACGGCGGCCGGATGGCCGAGGGAGGAACTTGCGGCTGGCGGGCGGGGCTGGCAGAGCGGCGGATCCGGCTCGGAGCGCGCTGCCGATGGGCGGAGCTCCGCCTCTCAAGGCGCTGCCCTCCCGTCCCGCGGATCCCCGAGCTCACGGCACGCCGTGGCGCATCGCGGCAGCACTTCGCGTTTATTGACTCGCGCGTACTCGGCCCCGGAGAGCCTGCAGCTCTCGCCGCCGTGCACTGGGCTCCGCCGCTCCCTTCCGCAAACCGGCGTCATCCCTCGGTGCTCCGCTTTCTTCGCCCGTGTCCCGGCTCGTTGCTGTGCGCTGCTTTGTGGAGCCGTGCTTCAGAGGTCGTCCTGCGGAGGGATGAGGAGTGTGGTGGGAGGAGGCCAGCGGCAACCACCTGGTGCTGTCCGGGAGCCCCTGGGTGCATCCCCACAGCACACTGCAACCCAGGGGGCAGCAGCTGGAGCAAGAAGAGTGCCAGGGACTTCTGGAGTGCCTGGGGAATAGAACTCCGAGGCTCTACTCACATCCAGGTCATCCATGGTCGGAGGAGGGGCTTTGTCCGTCACCTTCTGCAGGAGCTGGATAGGGAACAAAGGTCTGTGGAAACGACACGGCTGGCTGTCCCCCAACGTGCCAAGCAACCTGTGCACACAAAACCAGGCTCACCTCTGCATACTCCTCCACCATGGCCCTCTCCACCTCCTCGTCCCCTTCCCAGTCTCGCCAGTTGTCAAAGTCAACGGAGAGCCAGGCTGGCTGTGGGCAGAGAGTATCCCCTGAGGAAGGAAGCAGTGTGGCCCTGACCTCACACGGAGCAAGCATGGGCTACTCCTGCATAGGAGAATGTCCCTGTGGCTGCAGGGGCCAATCCTGACCCTACCCACATCGAGGATGGGAATGCCACATCTTCCTCAAAGCACTTAAGTGAGCTGATAGGGAGCAGGAGGCATTCCTGTGTCTGCTTACTGAGAGCTCTATTTTGGGGTGGCTGTATCAGGATCAGGGTGTCTGTCCTGGGGGCACGTGGAACCCAGAAAGCCACTGTACTGGGTACAGTCAGCCGCAAAGGCTCTCCTTACTGTCCAGCACCATATGCACCTTGATGTTTTCCTTGGTGATGCGGGGCCAGGCCACTTTCTCCTTCCACTTCCTCATAAAGCACGTGATGGAGCGGTCAGAGCGCTTCTCTCGTGAGTCCTGCCAAGAGATGAGGATGTTTCCCCTCATTGTCTGCTGTGTTCCTCTCTAATCCACAGCAGATACACAGAGGATCAAAGCTCAGCCACACTTGGGCTGTGGTACACAGAACCATGGAGAAGAGTTGTTTGCAGCCCAGCACTGTGCTGCATGTGACAGACTCAGGATCAGGTTTTCCAGGCTTGTGCTCAACCCACTCAGGCTCTCAGAAAATGAACAGAATGCAGCTCTAAGCTGCACTGCTCAGGACAGCACAGGCTCTGTTCGATTCTGAGCATGATGCAGGCTGTCAGGGAATGGCCTGCTGGGGAGAAGTCTCACCTTGGAGTTCACTCTGGCATACAAATTGATCTCATTGTAGAATTCTACTCCATCTGCGTTTCTGCAACTGCCAAAATACAGATACCTGGTTCAGGACAGAGCTGACCATACGCTTCACTGGCTCACACAGGGTCCTCCTTCCCCCAAGATCCCCATAGCTCCAGACCTATAGCCCACCTGAACACCAATCGGTGATCCTCGATGATGACCTGAACATCTGTGCTGTCCTCCACGCAGAACTCCAGGAAAACATACCGCGGACGGTCATACCACAACGTCTTTGCGTGTTGCCTGGGAAAACACGGGCTGTGGGTACTTCCATAGAACCTTCAGTGCAGCAAAGACAGACTGCGCATCAGGCACGAGCAGAGATTTGGGCCAAAGCCTAGTTGGACCCCTCGCCGGTTACTCAGCGGGTGGCAGCAAGCACACCCAAGTGCACAGCAGCCGCGGGCTGCAGCAGGCCGCGATCGGCCACCCCTGCCGTGTCCATTACCAGCAGCGGCTGTCCTGGGGCCCTGCCCGGGGCCTGGTTTGGGTGTTGCCTCAGGCTTTTTTTCGGGTGTTGCCCCAGTGTGTTTGGAACTCGACCGGGCGCTGTCCCGGGACCCCGCCACGCGCAGTCCCGCAGAACGGGCACGCTCACCTCGCCATGTCGGTGCTCTCCCCGCACTATCTCGGACCTCCGGGAACGGGGCCGGTCGTTTTCCTCCCGGTCCCTCCGAGCCTCAAGGGGGCGCACTGGCAGCTCGCGGCAGGGGCCGCGCCCTCGTGCCGCGTCCTGGTTCCGCGCTGCCCCGCCCCACCCGCGCCGCGGCGAGAAGATGGCGGCGGCTGTGCGGCGCAGGTGGCGGCCATAATGGAACCGGAAAGCAGCCTGCTGGGCCCAGGGGAGCGTTGGGCGCCGGTGGGCGCTGTGACGGTGGAGCAGCAGGAAGAAGAAGAAGAAGAAGAAGAAGAAGAGACGGCGGCGGGGTCGCCGCGGTCGGTGCCGCGGTTGCGGGCTGAGCGGCGCCGCCTGCACGGGGCGCTGCTGGCGCTGGCCTCGCATTTCGCGCAGGTGCAGTTCCGGCTGCGGCAGGTGGCCAGGGCCGGCCCGGCTGAGCAGCAGCGCCTGCTCCGCGACCTTGAGGACTTCGCCTTCCGTGGCTGCCCCGCGCCGCTGGCCCACGGGCTCGGGGATGGCCCAGTGAGTGCGCGGGGCGCGGTGGGGCCGGGCGCCCTGATGGGGCGGATGGCGTCTCGTGTGCCGGGCTCTCCTAAGAGGCCTGTAGGAAAGCTGTGGCGTGACGGTGCCAGGACGGAGGGTAGTGGCTGTAGGATAGTGGCCTAGCAGAGGCTGCTCAGGGAATCTAGGGGTGCCCCGTCCTCGGAATTGTTTGAGGCCAGGTTGAATGAGGCTTTGGGCAACCTGCAGTGTCAGATGTCCCTCCTGTGGCAGAGCGTGGAGCTGGATGGTCTTCCAGCCTTGACAGCGCTGTGATTCTCTGACTTGTTTAAAATCCAGTTAGGAACAGCTGTTCCCCTTCCCCCTGCTGCGACGGGCATCTGAGGTAAGGAGTGTTGTTACAGCTGCCCAGCACTGCTCTGACCAGCGGTGTTGTACCACACCAGATGTGTGTGTGATGGAGCTTGTCTGCAGAGGTTCTTGTTTGTCATGTGAGTTGATGTGACCAGTACCTTTCCTTGATGTGCAGGCACGCCTTTTTTTTTTTTTTTGAATGACTTGTAATGTTCACCAATTGATTGCTTGAACTGGAAACATTCTTCATATCACAGACCTGTACTGTGGGGCTGGCCTGCAATGGTGAATGTTTAATTTTATTTACTGACAACTTTTTCTTCAGAGTGAGCAAGAGAAGCAGGAGCGAATTGAGGTCCAGAAGGAAAAGCAAAGGGAGCTGATCTTGCAGCTTAAGACACAGCTGGATGACCTAGAAACATTTGCATACCAGGAGGGCAGCTATGACTCTCTTCCACAGTCTGTGGTTATGGAAAGGCAACGGGTAAGGCTCCAGAGGTTCTGTATTGCTCACAGTCATTAGTAATACAGTATCAATAGTTAGTCTGCATGCATGTGTGCAGTCTTGTTGTCTATTGTGATTGTCATCGTGTGACAAAGAAGCCTATTTCCAAGGTAGTGAGTGGAGTATCTTGGAGGTTGTGGACACTGGTGCCACATACTGAAGTGATACAACTGACTGATGTTTTGCAGATGATTATAGATGAATTGATCAAGAAGCTGGACATGAACTTGAGTGAAGATATTGCAACACTCTCTCCAGAAGAATTGCGGCAGCGTGTGGATACTGCCATAGCACAGATTGTTAATCCAGCTCGGGTGAAGGAACAGTTGGTGGAACAACTAAAGACACAAATAAGGGACCTTGAAATGTTTATCAACTTCATTCAAGGTTAGTGCTCAGTTTTTAGACAAGTAGATTGAATTGATATATAATTCTGACATAGTTATGAAGAGGGAGTCTGCAGATGTCAAAGGATGTTCAGAGCTGGTGGTGGATAGAAACAAACTGCCAAGCAAGGAGCAGAGTGGTTTAAGGGAGTACTGACCTTTATATGTGGGATATACAGTCTAAATTCACAAGTGTGAAATTCTTGTTCTAGATGAAGTTGGAGGTTCTGGTAAGGCAGAAGATGGACACTGTGAGTGTGCAGGTAGAAAAGATGGTGGTGGTTCCTACAAACCAAATATCTGGTCTTCTGGAAACAGAGGTAGGCACTGCTTGGCATGAAGGTTTGTTTGTCTCTTTATTGCTGTCACTCATTTGATGTTCATGGAGTATGAACTAGCATCCAGGTATATTAGCATGTTTTTTAAGTGTTTTTTATTTCTATTATTTATAAATTGTATCGACAGAAGGTCTGTGTACAGTTCTTTTGCCCTTCTTAAAAGCATGTTGATTCCTTAATGAGAAAACATGTGGTTTTTTTACTTTCTTTTCTAACCTGAGCAGTGAACCCAGAAGATGCCAAAAAGTTGCGAGAAACAGGCCTGCACCTCATGCGTCGCATGCTTGCTGTGCTACAGATATTTGCTGTTAGTCAGTTTGGTTGTGCCACTGGTCAAATTCCTCGCAGCCTCTGGCAGAAGGACCAAGCCAACAAGGACTATTCTCCCTTAATTAAGAAACTGGAGCTGTCGGTAGATCGGGTGAGGCAGCTAGCTTTGAAACACCAGCAGGGTGACCACGTTATCAGTTCTTCCGATCTGCAGGATGTTTCATTAGGAGGAAGAGATGAACTGACTCTGGCTGTGCGGAAGGAGCTGACCATTGCTTTGCGAGATCTGATGGCTCATGGGCTCTGTGCCTCTTCTCAAGGGATGAGCCTGGTGTTGGCACCCATTGCATGCTTAATTCCTGCATTCGCCTCCTCACCACAGACCATGCACCCCTGGGATCTCTTTGTGGAGTATTACAAAACTAAAAATGGACAGGCCTTTGTGGAGTCTCCAGCTCGCAAGCTCTCCCAGTCCTTTGCCTTGCCTGTGACAGGAGGAGTCACCATCACACCCAAACAGAGCCTGCTGACAGCAGTTCATACAGTTCTCACTGAGCATAACCCCTTCAAGCGCAGTGCAGACTCTGAACTGAAAGCTCTAGTGTGTATGGCGCTAAACGAGCAGCGCTTGGTCTCCTGGGTAAACCTGATCTGCAAATCTGGAGCTTTGGTGCAATCTCACTACCACCCGTGGAGCTACATGGTAAACACAGGCTTTGAGAGTGCACTTAATATCCTCAGTCGTCTGAGCAACTTGAAGTTCAACCTCCCGGTTGACCTGGCTGTCCGGCAGCTGAAGAACATCAAAGATGCTTTCTGATGTATTTTTATTTTAGATCATCCACTTTTCACAAGTGAGCAGCTGTTGATCTCCAGAAGCCTAGCTTTTTTTTTTTTCCCTCTCTTCCTTAAGACTGAATTCTACTCTTTGAAATCGATACTTGCTTTTAGGAAAATCTTGATGCTGGTGGCTGGATGCGGTATGGCACTTTATCCTGCCCTTCTTATGCAGTTCTGAATGGCAAAATTGGTGAGCAGATTAATGCCGTGCTGGATGGGTGCAGGAGGGTCCTGACCACGGAGCCTGTCTACGGGAGCACAGTGCATCTGAGCTGTTGTGCTGCATCTGCACGCTTATTTCAAAATCTGTGGTCTAAATGGTGCCAGTATGAGATACCTCTCAGGAGAAGTGAGGCAGTCTGATATCTGCTTGGGAGTGGGAGTTTGGTTGCTGATGTTTGATGTGGCTGCGCAGGGGTGAGGGATTTGTTTTTCCCAGTGTGAATGTAAGAGAACTGGGGGCAAATCCTGCTGAGGAACTGGGTATGCACTGAACCAGCAATATTCAGGCTGCTGGATGAGGGAGCTGACATTCAAATTACTTTGCAAGCATCCCAGAAGATCCTTTTCTGAAACTTCTGTGCAGAGATCAGAGCACCAGGGCTGTGGTATTCCACAGTGGATGTATTAAACTGCTCTAATTAGTGTCTGTGTGGGGAAAATCCATTTCCAGTGACTGTGTTTTAATTTGCGTTGGTTATTGGCCCTTGTGATGCAGGTGTAGTGGCTCACTTGGCTTTGTAATATTTATAATATCACTGTAACGTATCTGCAGTTCCTGATGGCGTTAGGATTTTTGTGTCTGCTGTAACAGCACCTCCCCTGCTGGGCGTGGACTGCGCTGCTGCAAGGGATCCTGAAATGAAATTGCGAGAAGAGCGCTGCCTTACAATGCAGCGTTAGTCGACACTGCACTGACGGCCCGGGCAGAACCGTCTGCCGTGTGGAGGCATCGAAGGCGCTGCGCCGGGCCGCTGCCGGGGGCGATACGGGGGGAGCGGCTGCGGGACGGCGGGCAGCTGCCCGGCAACTGCGGGATCGCTGCGCGCGTGCGGATGGGGCGGAAGTGACGTCAGGGCGCGGGGTGAAGGGTCGGCGGAGGGGGAGGGGTTTCCTTTTCCGCCGCGGCGCCATTGGGGTGGCTGTGCTGGTGAGTTGGGGCGGCTGCGGGATCTGCTTCCATCCGCGGGAACGGCGGGGCTGGGAACGGCCGGAGCCCGCTGTTGACCGCCGTGTGCCGTGTCTGCAGAGATGGGCAAGTTTATGAAGCCGGGGAAGGTGGTGCTGGTGCTCGCCGGCCGCTACTCGGGGCGTAAGGCTGTCATCGTGAAGGTGAGTGCGGGGCTGGGGGGTTCCTGCAGTGCTGCCCTCGCTGTTGGCCCTGGGCGGCCCCGCCGCTGCCCTGGCCGCTCCTGGAGAAAGGCCGGGAGCCCTCAGCGCAGCCGGCGGCGGTGTGTTTAGAGATGTCTGCGCGGGCCGTGTTTGTGCTCGGTTGCCCGGCTGGACGCAGCGCAGCTCGGGGCGGTTGTGACGGGTTGGCTCAGCGGGGGTGTGGGATGCGTTTCAGAACATCGACGATGGCACATCCGACCGGCCCTACAGCCATGCCTTGGTGGCAGGCATCGATCGCTACCCGCGGAAGGTGACAGCGGCGATGGGCAAGAAGAAGATAGCAAAGAGGTCTAAGATCAAGTCTTTTGTGAAAGTTTACAACTACAACCACCTGATGCCCACCCGGTGAGTGTAGTTATTTCAGCAGGACTAAAGTCTGATGGTAAGAAGGCCAAAGGAAACACGTTGTGTGTGTTCAGTGTTTGTAATTCTTGAACGTTCTTTTTGGTAAGTGCTGTAAATCGTAGAGGTTCTGCATTGTGTGGCTGAGTGTATGCAGGGTTCACTGTGTGAAAATAGTGACTTAGGGTTTGTAAAGCTGATGTGAAATATCAACGTACTGCTTAGATGATGCAGCTGGATTTTGATTTCAGTCATGTTCAATTTCAGTTAATTGTGGAATGTCAGTGGCTGAACTTCTGAAACTATTATGATAATTTGGTGCTCCTGGCAGCTGTTGCCACCCAGGAATGTTTTTCTTTTCCAGTTGTAAGTGCTGCTTTTACAGGCTCCCAGATACAAAATGCAGTACGGAGTTGCTTGTCTGTTGTCACAAGTGAACCTTTTTCCTTAATTTGCTGAATTAAATTACTTTGATCTGGTGATTTCTGGAATTAAATGATTTAAGTACTTTAGTTCTTTAGCCTGGTACCAGTACGTACATATGACATTATGCCAGATACAGTGACTGTCTCACACCTTTCTGCTCTCTTGCCCAGGTATTCTGTTGATATTCCCCTGGACAAAACTGTTGTCAATAAGGATGTGTTCAGGGACCCTGCTCTGAAACGCAAAGCAAGACGTGAAGCTAAGGTGAAGTTTGAGGAGAGGTGAGTTGGAAGCTCATAATCTTGATGGTATCTCACTTTCTGGAGGATTCAGTGTGATAATGGTGTTGCCCTAGTTGATTGCCTTAAATTGCTTTAAGTACGTTTTTGGAATGATTATTTCTCTCTTGCTGTGCTTTTTCCCACAACCAAGTAGTGTGGTAGGTTGAGTTTGTCCATGTTCCTGTTTACAAATTCCAGTAGATTCACGTTAACAGTTACTTTGCTGCTGCCTCATACAGAAACAAGCGAGGTGTTCAGGTGACATGATGATATCTTGGCATCTTACCATCTTGTGTCCACTGGATTTGTGTCACTGAGCTTAGCATGACAGGGCAGTGCTCACCTTGCCCAGAAGCTTTCCTTGTTGACAACACTTTATTTCAATGCTTACTTCAGAAGTACCTTCCATGGAAGGAGCTGTGCAGCGGCAGCAAAGAAGCAGGGATGTCCTGCTGACAGCTCAAACAACTGGTACAAGCATGTATATAATGCATATCCTCTGCACTTAAATGTTGGCAGTTCTTTATGTGCAGCTAATGGTTGCATTCTACATCATCTGAAGCTGCCCTGTGTGTAAACTGCTGCAGTGTGGGTCTCCCTCATGATATGACTTTATGAGGAAAATCTGCAAGCTGATAATCACTTCCATGGGGACTTTGAACTTTTAGAAAGTTTAGTTGGCAGACTGGGGGGGAAGAAACCAGGTGCATTACCTGTAGGTAAACAGTGCTGCTTTTTGCCTGTATAGGTGGATAAGGAGGGATTGGGTGAATGTTTTATGCTATTTCCTGTTCATACAAAGTACACTCTAAAATTTGTGTTCCTCTTCTTTCAGATACAAGACTGGCAAGAATAAGTGGTTCTTCCAGAAGCTGCGATTCTAAATTTAAAATAGGACTGTTTCAATAAATGTTTATTAAAAACCATCTTGCTATGTTATGTAAAATTGTGTTGGTAGCCCTTTCACTGGGGTATAGATTTGCTTTGGATGTTCATAAAAGAGTTGGAAAAGGGAAAAAGTAAACCGATAAGCTTTTGAAAAATCTGGAATGATGTGCGAGCCTGAGGTGTGGGTGAACGGAGCTGTGTCTGCGTCGCTGCTGGGCGCATCATTGCCTCACGGTGCACTTTCAACTGACTGCTGCTGAAGTCATTTGTTTTATTTCAGCCCGTATGTTGGAGATGTCTTGGGGTAAATCCCCACCGGTGAATGCAGATGGGAGAGGTAATTCCAGATAAGCTGGCTGAGAATTGCAGTGACTGAGCCCCTGCCAGGATGCTGCTATGTTTTTGATTATCGTTTTACATTACATACTGGCTAAGCAGCACTTGAAACCATGTCTTCTCTGGGAGCTGGGCTAAAAGCTCGGTTATTCAGCTCTGCCCCACCTGGGGGAGGCCCAGGTTGGGCCTGCGCGGAGACGGAGCTCCGTCCTCTAAGCGGGGGCGGAGGCGGGGCTGGGCCGCGCTGCGGAAGGAAAAGCGAAAGCGTCAGGCCTCGAGAAGCTGCGGCTGGGTGGTGCTCGGGCTGCCGCGGGGTCTGGCCGCGCCGTCGCTCTTCGCTGTCGGAGCTGCTGGCGTGGACTCGGAGGAGGTGACGGCTCCACGCGGGGCTCCGGGGTGGGAGGGGAGGGGAGAGGAGAGGAAAGGAGAGGAAGGGCCGAAGCTCGGAGGCTTCGGCTCTGACCCCGCGCTCTGTAGGACTACTTGGTGCGGCAAGCCAGCCCCCAGCACCGGGAGGACTGCAGCCTGAAGATGAGCCCCGAGCGAGCCCGGCAGGAGATCGAGCAGTGCAAGGTGTGTCCTGCTCCGGCCGCGTCCCCGAGAGATGAGTCGAGTCGGATCCCGGTCCTCTGAGGCCTTTATCGTAGCCGGCACAGAAGCCCCACAGCTTCCTGGGCTGCAGCTGCCGCTCTTCTGAGTCTGCAGCCATCGTTTTGTATTTTTCTCTCATACGTGTGGCACCAAACTGCTGAGTGCAAGCCAGAAACAGTAAAGAGGGGATACTCGCAGTCATGAAGTACCAGGACTGGGTTCCTGGGCTGTGCATAGGGAGCAGCCTGCTGCCCGCCCTCACAAGTGTGTACTGGGGTTGGACACGCTGTGGGGGCGCTGCATTGTTAACAGAGGCACTAACTGTTCCTCTCACAGGATCTTTGTAGTGCTCTGGATCAAGACAACGCGATGCTGCAAAAGGACAAGGAAGCTGTAGAGCAAATGTTACAACGTGTAAAGAAAGAGAGAGAACTTCTTCAGAAAAATCTCAAGCAAAAGCCTCCAAATTATGACAAGGTATCCCTCCAAGTGCGTGCTTGAAGGAGTTGTCTTAGGCAAGGCAGCAGTGGAAAGTCTGGCTGTGCTGCTCAGCTCAATGCTTTGAGAAAACTTTGATGGGATGCAGCAGTGGTTACATGGAACTGTACTAGGGGCCTCTGTTGGGAAGTGAGCTTGTGCTGTGGAGGAAGGCTGCAGTGGAAAGCCAGGGTGCAGGATGGCGAGCAGAAAGATGGTGCAGGCTGGAGTTGCTTAGATCAGAGAGCAGCTGTAATCCCAAACTTTGTCTTGATTCCCCTACTGCTTGCTATTTCTTTTCTTCCAGGTGGATATCTCTATAGCACAGGATGAGAAGAGCAGATTGACACAGGAGAAGCAGATGTTGGAAAACAAATTGGAAGAAATGAGAAAGAGGATCCTCAGGGAGGACCCGATGATGGTAACAGAGCATGTGTAGGCACTGATGGCCACAGGTAAAGGGTGTGAGCCAGGGTGGAGAGGCTGCTGGTGAATGCAGCTGGGCACTGTGTGTTATTAGGCCTGGCTCTTCTCAGCCTTGGGCTCCTTTGCCAGGGCCAGAAACGGTGGCTTTGGGACTCTGGGCACTGCTGGACCATAGGAGAAACTCTGCTAAGTCTAGCCAGCTGTTTGGTTTGAACCATGAGCTTATTTCTCATCTGGGTTGGCAAGGACAGGTCTTGTGCAGGGTGCAGTCTCTTCCAGCTGCTGTGTTCTCTAACCTAGATGCTGCATGCCTTACCAGAGAGGAAGGTAGTGTTTAAGGGACTTGCAACAGATAAGGAGGACGTGAACAAGCTGGTGCTCACCCCTCTGATCCGCTGTCCTCTGACAGGGGGCTCAGCTCTCATCACCTTTGAGAAGGCAGAGGGTAAGAGTGAAAGAGCACTGCTATGGGAAAGTGTCCGAGTCATTTGGGCTTGCCAAGCATCACTGGCAGCAGTGCTACAGCCACAGCACTCACAAGCACTGCTTGTCCTGGCCAAGCCATCATTGTGCAAGGCTGTTCCCCTTTCCCAAAGCTTTCGCTCTCCCATGCCCTGTCCTACTGATTGCCTGGGCTGAGGGCTTTTCCTTTTGCAGTGGCCCAGCGGGTGATAGAGATGAAAGAGCATGTGGTGGAGCTGAGCCATGGGGAGGACCCAGAAGACCTTGACCGGTGCCAAGTGCGAGTGCAGGCAGGTCCAGTGGACATACTGCTGCCATCTGCTCTGGAGGTATGTTCCAGGGGCTCAGGGCCATGTTCTTCTCCACTGCTGCCTGGACTGTGTCACTGGTAGCAGCTCAGCCCAGCACACCAGTACTGCAGATCTGATCTCCTCAGGCTTTGCCCTGCTGCAGCACTAACTAGCCTCTACCATCCCCAGATTGGGCTCGCTCGAGGCAGCAGGAGTATCCTGGTGTCCGGACTGCCCAGCCTGGGCATCCCTGAGGACATTCTACTGGACAAGCTGGAGCTCTTCTTCAGCAAGACAAAGAATGGAGGCAGTGAGGTGGAGAGCAGGGAGTTCCTGGATGACTGTGGCCAGGTGGTGCTGACCTTCACGCAGGATGGAGGTGTGTGGGACACACTGAGCACAGGGCTGTTGGAGGAGGAAAGCAGCCCAGCCAGCTCTGGGAAGCACTGGTTGTCTCCCAAGAGCAGGTGGAGTTGTGAGGAATGGGGATGGGAGACTGTGCTGGAGATGAGCAGTGTTGGTGATCGTGCCAGAAACATAACCATAAGTTCAGCAGGGGTCTGTGGAGCTCATGGCTTTCTTCTTCATCTCCAGTGGCTGAGCAGCTAATCACTAGAGGGCAGGTCCAGGTGCCTATTGGGAAAACAAAATACAAACTCAAAATATCGCCCTATATGAGAGGAAATGTCACCAACTTGCAGGTAAGGGTACGCACTCTGGTGCGGAGTGGCACCCACCAGCCCCAAGAGAGCCAGCATGGGCTGGGGGCTTCTGAAAGCCTGAGGGGTGCGTTTCTGGTCCCCTGGTCCCCTCTGCTGCTGGGGGACCATGAGTCCATGCTGGCCATGCAGTATGGGGTCTGCAGCTCTCTCCTCTATGCCCAGCTGCAGCCCTCCCGCTGCACCAGGACTGTTCTGCTCTCGGGGATCCCAGATGTGCTGGCTGAGGAGCCCATGAGGGATGCGCTGGAGATCCATTTCCAGAAGGACAGCCGTGGTGGTGGAGAGGTGGACGTCCTCGGCTATGTCCCAGCTGGGTGCCGGGCAGTGGCTGTGTTCAGGGAGGATGTGGGCTAGCCCTGACCAGCACTGTAAGCCTGGTTCATCGGGAATTCAGTGTGTGAATTAAAGAGGCCTGCACGGAGCTCTGTGTCTGTCGTGCTCGGGACTGCCTGGGACAGGGCCGGGACGACGAATGGAGGGAGAGCCACGGGGAAAGCCGCGTCCCAGCCCGGGCAAGGGGACAGAAGAATCACAAGGCCGGACAGGGCCGTTCCGCCGCACCGAGCGGGCCCAGGGGGCGGTGCCGGCCGGGCGGGGAGGGCCGCCTGCTTTCGCTTTCGTTTCCCGGCGTAGCGGCGGGGCCTCGGGACCGCAGGTAGCGAGGCGACGCCGCGGCACTGCGCGGCGCTGGGGCCGGGGGCGGGCAGAACCGGGTCGTAGAAGCAGCGGGGAAACGGGCCCGGTGTGGGGCGGCCCGGCCCGCTGAGACCGGGGAGGTCCGAGCAGGCGCGGGCCGCGGGTAGGCCGCTGTAGGGCCCTGTCACCTTGGCCCGTTTGCCGCCCCGTCCCCGCAGGCATGGCCGGCTGCACGGTGCAGGTGTGGGGCATCCCCAGCGACCTGCCCCCCGACAGGGTGGCCGACAAGCTGACTATCCACTTCCTGCGTTCCCGCAACGGTGGCGGGGAGATCAGCGATGTGCAGGTGCTGCCCGGATCCCCGGCCTACGCCCTCATCACCTTTGAGGCACTGGCAGGTAATGACTGGGCCCTGGGGCGCTGCCCGAGTGTCACCCCGTTATCCTCAGCCCCGGTCACATGGGAGTGCCCCTTCTCGGCCTGCCGGGGCCGTGCTGGTGCCTGTTGTTTTTCCCCACACAGTGGCCCAGCGTATCCTGAAGGCGAAGAACCACGTGCTGTGCATCGGTGGGAAGAAATACCCCCTGGAGGTGAAGGCGCATATAGTGAAGCTGAGCCCTGATGAGGTAGAGCAGGGCAGAACTGCCCACCCAGGTGACGCACATCACCGTGACAGCCTCAGCTGGCTCCCAGACAGACTTTGTTCTTGGCTGACGCATTCAGGAAGGAGAGCTTGCTCCTCCTTTTAATTTTAATTAGATTTCATTTTTATTCGTATTCAAATGAGGATGCGTATATTTTTTTCACACTAATAATACAGCAACAGCGAAGCAGACTTTGCAGTCAGTCATTTGGTATTTATACCTGTCAAAGCAAGGAAGAATAATCAGACTCAAGGGAGGGGTGCTTGTCCCCTTTCCATCTGGTGGTACAGAGGCGATTCTTCTAATGCCTTGGCTCTGCCATTAGCTGGACGCTATGTCATTAGCTGGACACACAGTGTATTTTTGCTTTCTTTCTTCCAGGAGAGCTTAAGAGATAGACGTGCTATTGTCTAGGAGGCACAGGAGATTTCACGTATCTTCTTCCATTTGTCTTATCTTCACATCTGAGCACTGAAAATGAGGGCATGGCAGTTGACCGGGTACTAGAGACCTTGCCAGAAATCTTTGTTGCCAGAAGGAGCACTGAGAGAACAAGAGGGTAACTGCATTTCAGCTGCAGAAAGGAGAGTAGCTCTGGGCTATTTGCAGAACTCCCTGCTTGTAGAAGTGGGTCTGCATCTGTGCGGTTTGCCCTTTGCAATCCTTGTTCGCACAAAGCCTCTGACTATGGATATAAGGTCAAAAGGTCACTTAGGCTGACTGGATCTTTCAGTCATGCCTGTGTTGTTCTCCCATTGAGCATTGTGAAAGCAGGTTACTTTTCTGTCACAGTATCACAGGGGGCTGTGGTAAGAGTCATGTGTATTCACTTCCACTCTGTGCCTTGGAGGGGCCTTATATTTGGTCTGTACTTTCTCACTCCTTTGGTCTCTACCTGCAGATCTTTGTACGTGTTTTCATGGTGGTTGACTATGGTAAGCTTCCTATTGGTGAAACGCTCTTGAAGAACTTGCAGAAGGGCTACAGCAGTGTGCAGTTTGACTTTGACTACAGGAGCACACTTTGCAGAGTCAAGGGAACATTTACTGAGCTGCAGGCCTTCAGCAGAGACCTGCTGGCCAGCCTGAACCTCAAAAGCCAGCCCACTGGAGAGAGCCTGCCTTCAGGATCCAGCCATTTGGCCAAAAACACTGGAATGTATGATTACCAGCAAGAGCCTGACTCTGCTGTATCAGCATCAAAGACAGTAAAGCTGCCACACTTGGACCAGGTGTGTGATAAGGCAGCTGATGGCCCATCACCTCGAAGCCACGTGGATCGGGAAGCTGTGGAACAGCTGGAGGACTTTTCCCTGGTCATGGACTCAGACATTTACTTGTACATACAAAGGTTTTGTGCTTCTGAGTACCAAGGCATACTTCACCAGCATCATGTAGATGTGGTGGACGTTAGCAGCAATGACGTAACCATACTGTACCTCCAACCATCTCCAGGTACATCTGGGGACATGGACACTTTGCAACAGTCCCGCCTGGCGCTACAGCACCTCTACCAGCAGCTGGAAGTGAGCTTGCGCAAAGAGAAGCTCTCCAAGGGAGGACTGAACAACCAGGAACTCAGGGCTCTGACACAGGAACTGCAGGAGCTGTATCCGCAGTTGCTCTGCCATGAAGATGGGAAACAGCTTGACATTATTGGAAATCTTGTTGATGTTTCCCAGGCCAAGCAGTATGTTCAACATTTCAGCACCAGAAGTGGTGCCTCACAGATGGCTGGCATGTTCAGTAGCTCCCCACCCTCACAGCCAGCAACTTCCTACACTACAGAGGCTACACTGGAAAAGCCCAAAGTTCCTGTGGACACCTTGCCTCTAAAGCTGAGCACAGGCAAGCCAGAACTGAAAGCTGAACACAAGTTGGCTGCCAACTTCAGTGCTCCAAAAATTAGCAGGTCTCAATGCCTTTTGGAAAATCAGGACTCCCCTCTGATGGGGCAGGCACAGCTTTCTGGAAAGCATTTCTCAGATACACGTGCTCTGGATCCCAGTGACCCAACAACACTGGCACAGCCGTGCCAGCCTCATATCTCTACAGTGGATGTCATTTCAAAGTCAGCAGCAGAGTCTCAGCAGGACCCCAAAGAATGGGGCCATGTGAAAGGAGGGGCTAGACTTACAAGAGAGAAGAGTCTGTCTCCTTTTGGAAACAAAGAAAAGGGCACTTTGAAGCATGCTGAGGACTTGACAGACTCAGATCCCAGCAAACACCATTCCCTTGCTGGCACATCTAGTATCTTTCAGTCTCTAAGTCTCTTTGACACAACAAGAACCTCTTTGGACTCCAAACCCTCTGAATCCAGGTCTATGCTGCGACGCTCCAGCAGCTTTTCCTTGCCAAAGTCAAAGGAAGGCAACAAGCCCCAAGGCACTGGCAGGGCAGCCAGTGGAGACAATAGGGTGAGTGAAGAAATGAGCCTGAACTCTCTGCAGTGGTCTTATCTGAAATATGCCTGTCGCTCTGCTATTGATGAACTGTGCAGGGGCAGAGTTGTGGACATCTCAGAGCGTTCCACTGGGGACTGCACTGTGCTCACATTGCAGGCAGCAGACAGGAGCAAGCTTCTCCAAGCTAAATGGAAGGTAGAAGATCTTGTGCAGAAGTGTCCTGACCTTGTGTGTCAGAGTATGAGCTGCTCAGAGCTTGCTGTAGATGAGCCAGATGATGATGCTCTCTGCGAACTGTGCAGCCACTTGCAAGGGGGTTCCCTCCAGGTTGGGCTCAGCAAAGACAAGTACAAGCTCTATCTTGCCTGTCCCGAAGACATGCTGCCAGGAGTGACTGAGGCCTTCCATCTGTTCTCTTCCAGGAGGCTCCATGCCCTGAAGTCTTCATCCTTGTCTCCAGAACCAGGGAGAGCTTTAAGTGCAGGGCACCCAAGTGCTGTCCAGCCAAGCCAGGACACCATGCTGGATGCAGCCCTTCCCAACAGCCTGGAGTCCCTGCAGATGGACCTGCAGCCCCTGGACATTAGCAATAAAACAGTGCACCCAGAGGTTCTAAATGCTTTCCAGCAGCTGGAGGCTGATGAAAACAGATCCCCCAGTCTTTGGAGGTTCCCACAAGCACTGGGACGTGAGGCCAGTGACCACATAGATCCTGGGGCTGTGCAGGGAAGAAGCAGCCTTCTCAGCCCTAGCATAATGGAAAATTTCAGTCCTGCAGCTCCTAGGGAGTCCAAGGAACAGCTGAAGACCAAAGTGATGCTGGGGGAACCTGACATTGCACGGCTAAAGCAGGTTTTGCCAGACAGGTTCCAGTTTGTGAAAGACAAGAGCAGAGTAGGCCACGATGATGCCATGGGACAACTGCAGTCACCAGTCCTCACAGCTGATGATGCTCCTCACTCCGTGCCCACCTGGCTGTACGAGAGTACGGCTCCTGATTCATTCCAGGCTGCAGCTGAACAGTCACCTGCAGCTGAGCCCAGGTCCCAGGAAAGTAACAGTTCAGGCAGGGACAGCATTCAGGAGGAGCCCAACCTCCCAGCACTGCAAACAAAAGACACCAGCCTTGAACAGGAAAGCTGCAATACTCCTCTGAGCCAGTGTGATGCTTGCCAGGACTTATGCGTCACATGCCAGACCCCCTCTGGTCATGCCTTGTGCAGGTCATGTTTTGCAAACCAGCCAGCTTGCTGCAGTTCCTCCTTGGTTGCCCCCATCTGCAAGATCTCAGGGACTTTCAAGATATCCTCTTTGTCACAGAGCTTGCCTGGCTACTTCCGAGACCTGACACTCCAAATTACCTACACCATCCCCAATGGCATTCAAGGGGTAGGTATCCCACCAAAAGGAACTGCCTATCCTGCTGGAAGCTGGGCAGTGGATTCTGTGGGTGTTACTGGGGCTATGGTAGGACAGGTGAAAGAGGGCAGATACAGCTCCATGCCCCATACACAAAGCAGCAGAGGTTTTGCCCCATGCAATAGCACTCCACACCAGGCTTAGGAGCTACTTGCTGCTTTTGAAGAGTGTGTGAGCTCCACTGTTAGTTGAAAGCATCTAGCAGCTCATGGGCACCACAGCGGTCTGTTTTCAAGCTGGACAGCATCTCAGAAGCCAGAACTGAGATTGTGCACTCAGGTGATTGTTTAATATGCTTTCTTCTTTTCTAAGGTCGGTCATCCTCATCCAGGAGAGCCTTACAAAGGGGGATATTTCTTAGCGTTCCTGCCTGACAACAGGGAAGGGCAGAAGACAGCAATTCTGCTGAAGAAAGCATTTGAGGAAGGGCTGACATTTCAAGTCAAGTCCTACAATGGAGAAGAAAGAGTGACATGGGGCCCTATCCCACACAAAACCTCCTGGCATGGAGGCAAAGCCAGGTATGATTCAGTTAGTACCACACCTTCAGGTTTTTCATAGCAATTGTAGAGAGAGAAACACTGATCTTAGCACAGCAGACCTTGGGTGCTACTGCAGACTGCCACAGCAACATAGTTGGTGCCCTTTGCTTCCTTTCACATGGCAGCCACAACCAGCCATGATGCATTTCAAGTGGGATAAAGCCTTAATCACCCCCATCTTCAAGCTCTCTCCGTGGCCACGTATTCTGATCCCTCTTCACTTAGAACTTTCCTGGCTTTTCCCATGCCAGCTCTGCAGTCAACTCTGCGTTACGTTAGGCAGCAGCAGCTGACAGCTCCCTGCAGCTCCCAGGGAGCAGGTCTCACTCACCCTCACACTCTGCTGAAGGGTTAGGACAAAAATAAGCTGCTGCCCCTCAATGGCTTTTAGCACTGTCAACAGGATTTACGTTGCTTCACTCTCTGCCCTACAGGAACGGCTATCCAGATGCCCAGTATCTCCATGAGGTTTGTACTGTCCTGAAGAAATTGGGCATTGACTGAGACTCTGCGCCTGAGCATTCATATCCAGTGCCTTCACTTCACCTTCCTTCCCTGCTGACAAAACTACAACCCAGCACAGCTCAGGAAAAAAGCAGGTGCCTGCCCAAGGAGTGAATTGTGTCCTGAGACAGCCAGAAGTCTACACATTAGCAACAGCAGCCCCTCTATCTCCCAGCTTGGAGCTGAGCGTCCCCAAGCCTCTAGCTCTTACTAGTTGCTCATCTTCTCACCAGCCAGTTAAGTAACAGCTTGTTTCACCATCAGATTCAGGCTGAGCCCTGGCATGATTTTCAACAGAGTGCCATTTTAACCAAGCCAAGCAAGCAGGAGCTTGCTTGTAGTTCAACCCCAGACTTCTGGAAGTCTGTTCCCTTTGGCCACTACAGGCAGGCTCCAGCTCAGCCACCTCCAGAGCCTGTGCCAGAGCTGAGCTATCATTAATTTCAGATGCTTAAGTAGACATTTCAGTCCTTGAGCTGACAGCCATGAACTACAGCCCCTCCCCAACACCTGCTCTGGGGACAGCAGGAAAGTTTATGCTTGGTTGGAGACAGCAGCAATGAGTTTCAGCTCTGAACAGCTGCCTCCTGAGAATATCAGGCACAGATAGGGTGCAGGTGCAGAAACACAAATAAACAAGATTTATCTCCACATTCTTTGTAGTGGTTGCTCACATTCTGTCTGCCACTCTGGAACCCCATTTCATTCTCAGCTGTCTACAGGGACACCCCAACACAAACTAGAGTGCAGAGACCAGCTAAGTGCTTTGCAAACAAAAATAATCACTATAACTGCCCTCCAAAGTAGACTACTGCAAGAATGACACAATGCTTGAGACAGAGATTAACAGTTATACTTGAGAGCAGAGGCAGCTTTTCAGCTTTGGAGAGTTGTTGGGATTTGTAAACTGAGTACATCCAACCTCTGACTGCCTTTTGAAGCAATACAGGGGCCCCAGAGACTGGCAGAATATTGACCAGCACACCACTGAGGGTTTTGTTATGCTTTAATTAACATTTTAAACACATAAGGCATATGGAAACATTAGATGGAGGAGCATTACACATTATAATCATGTAAACAGCATTGGCACATTTGCTTTCTGTCTCACTTGGTTATACAAAGCAGAATACATTTTTTAAACAAAGATTTTCCAAGTGCCTGTAGGGTGAGCATCATTCATATCACACATTTGCACATCAACATAACTCAGACAGTGCAGATCAGACCATATGCTGTAAGAGGCTCAGTCTAATGCATTTCACATCATGCTCATGTACTACTTGCCAGTCACTTTGCCATCAACACGGTTTCATACAGAAGAGACTTCATTAGGCAACAATAGTGCTTTCACACTTTGCCTGATAGCAGCTGCAAGCGGCCAGCATTCTGTACTGATTAAAGCCTGCGGCTCACACTGCCTTTTTCTTGTCACTGGTCACTCAATTTTAGTTTAATACAGGTGGGAAAAAAAATACACAGCTAAACTCCTCGCCAGCCCAAAGCACTTAGGGGGTCATGTTCCTTTGAGCAAAGTGAGGCTGCTTTCCTTCCTACGCCTGCACTTGGCATGCAACACAAATGAACAAGAGAGAAACTGAAGAGTCAGAGGTGACGGAAGTTGCTGGATGATAGCAAAGGGTTGCATTTTGCCCAAGTCTAAAAGTATCAGTCTGGGAATGCAACTATAGCAATGACATTGGAGTAGCACTAGGACAGGCATTCCTGCCAGGGGGATTCTTTGAATTACTCATGCTTTTCACCTGGCCATTTCTCCTCGTAGCATAACCTTTGGATCAGACAATGTAAATCAACACTGAATTGCACTTCTGATGGCAGTAATGGCACACACAATTTAAGAGCAGGCGTCTCCCATTTCCTTGATAGTATGACTTTGCCCTAAAAAGTTAAGCAACACTGAATGGAATGATTCTTTTGTTTGTTTTGCTTTGGTCCTTAGGTGTACAAACGTGCTGGTTAACTTTAATTCATTAAGACACTTGAAATTGTTTTACACAGGTTATTGATCCACAAAATGTTTATCCATTAAAAAAGTAAAAATAAGGACTACTAAAACAAATCTAGAACAGAGCATTAACCCTGGCCTGTCTGTAGAAAACACGATTGATACTGAGGGACATAAAAACAGTGCTCAGCTCTAACAGAAAGCTATAGCAATTGATTAGCACTCACACCCTGATAAGGCCTTCACGCACATGCAGGTAGCAAACACATGAGCAGCCCCCCTAAGAGCACAGAGAGCCTGATTATTTCCAAGGAGCCAAGGTAGAACAGCTGATAAAGCCTCACTTGAGGACCAGCTCTGAGCTAAACTTTCACCTTGGGAAGAAGAGCTGCAATAGTGGCAGCTATAAGGCAGCTCTTTAGGCTGCAGGAGCGCAGATGTCCAGGAGAGCCACACACAGCCCATGACACCTGCAAAGAGAAACTCATTCACGCTAAGTCAAACTACAACGGTGTTCACAAACTAGAGCAAGAACGATAACCTTTTTTTGGCAGTACTTTGAAAGGCCAGAATGGAGGAGGGTGACTTCCTAGTCCTTACAGACATGCAAAAGAAAGCACCAAGATGCTACGCTGTGGTGTATATCATAAGGCAGCAAGGCAAAGGGGCCCTGCAGCACACTGCAGAACTCCCACTCCTCTTCTACATTCCATGAGGAGGGCCTAGGCAGTGAAAACCTTGCTGTGCTGCCTAATCCAAGTAATCCAAAGCCATCCGAGTAAGGCACTGAGCATGCTCTTGGCTGACAGTAAAGCAAGGAAAGGATGTTATGGTAAAACAGTTGCATAGATTTCCCTTTTACAACTGCAGAACTGAAGATGAGTGGCGTGGTATGTCATTTTTAGCATGCTGCTCTTTCATCAAGGTGAAGTCAGGTTCCACAAAGGAGACTTTCCATTGCAGCAACTTAGCGGTCATTCTGTTGTCAGATTTGGTGAAGTTGCATTAGACACTGTTGGATTTAATCCAAATTAGCATGATGGGGGCAGGTTGAAAGGAGAAACAGCAAGATTTTGGATTCAGATACGTCAGAAGTTGTGCTTCTGAATTTCATGTGCCCATACTGGTGGTGGTGGTGTTCCATGTGCAACAGATGGAACAATGGGTGTCTGTGCCTGGACTCCAGCCCTTCTTTAGGGCCACAGGTAATGGGGCTGTGTTAAAGCTAGGCAGAATAAGTCCTCTGGAGTATCTGCCCATGTATTTTAATAGGCACCAGAGCTAAGCACCTGAAATTCAAGCTGAACTGATGCTTGCAGCACTGGTCTGGGAACAGAGAGGAAGAACTCACACACTTAATCTGCCTAGGACTGGCCCCCCCCCCCCCCCTCCGACAGTGTTTGTTCTCCAGCAGATGAAGGGCTTCACCGTTGGGTCCACTTGCCCATGCATCCCCTTCCCTCTTTGGAGTCAGGACAGTCAAGACTCCAAGCAGTCAATATTTGTTTCTGTAGCCTGACCTCACCCACAACATGCGGTGATCCTTGATGCCCTCAGTTTACCTTTTAAAAACCCAAATGGAGCCTAAAGCACTGCAGCATCTACAGTCCATGACAAAGCCTCAAACTGCTAAAGCAAGCACACATCACACTGTGGTCACCCAGGCCTGGAAGCCAGGTGGAGCAAGAAGAGGAAGTCCTCACAGAACTAGGTTTGGGTGTCTGCACAGTTCTGTTTCCAAACACAGTGAAGACAGAAAAGAGGAAGAGAAACTAACTTCTAGCCCAGGAAGAGCATCCTAGGCATTTCTTAAAGCCTCAGTGCTGGAAGGGAGCTGGCAGAGACCCAACGCTTGCAGCTCCAGGAGAAGAGGTGTGAAGCCCTACTGACCATGAGGTGAGAGAGCCTAGCCTGAGAGCTCACTAGAAAGGAACAGAAAGCCTGACTGGAACTGTTCCAGATACCCTTGCCAAAAGGCTCAGCAGAGCTGGACATTTTGCCACCTAAGCTGATAATTCAATGACAGGTAACACCAGGTGATTTGTTACACATGGAACCCAGAGCCCCACAAAGCAGGCTGGCGGGATTGTTCTTGCAGGCTGCTTTGCAATGTCTCCTCAGCACAAGGACACAGCACAAAGCAAGCAAAAACACAGGCTTATTTGGTCCCATCTTGCTGAAGTCTGATTCAACACTGCAGCTCTTGGAAATACGAAGACAAGGGTGAAGTTTAGTCTTAACAATATCACCTTGAAGACCAACATTAATAAAGCATAGATCCAACATCAAACTTTCCAGTCATCTGAGACAAAGTTCAATCCTTATGTTCTCTAACAATCAGACACAGTTTAGATCTCCTTTTAAAGTTTGAAATCAATAACTGAACAACATCAAGTTACTCAACTGAAACTTTTCTTCTGTACTCACAGAGCAGCACAGCCTGCCAGGTTCCTTATACACCGCACAGAGAAGTGACTACACGCTAAATGCAATACCCTACGGACTCCAGAATGCCAGGATGGTTATTTATAAGGCAAAGACAACATGATCTGCTATTATCTCACTGGTGTTAGGGGCCAGTGAAAGCTGAGGGAAGAAAGCACGGTTAGTATGAACAGAGGATCAGCCAGGGCAGCAACTAAACTGAGGCAGCCATGCTGTTCCTCTGGCTATTAAGAAGCATTCTCAGCCTGGCCTCTTCTCCTGCTGAACATGCTTCTCAAAGGTGACAGTGCAAGCATTCCAGCATGGGCTGGGTGTCTGTGGAGATGCCTGGCAGTACAGCATTTTACATCCTCATGGTGACAATCTATGCAGCTGTTAAGCATCAACTGCTTCAAAGCTGCAGCTATGCTGCCAGAAAAAGAAAATAACATTAGTTGAGAACTCCGGTATGGAAACAAGGAATTAGAAAAATGTACAAAATAACCAGGCTTCAAAACAGAGAGCGAGGGCAGAAGGCGTATCTGCAAAGGGTCAGACACAGCAAGAGCATGCAAACTTCATCTGAGCTTTAACCACAATGTTCTTATACTGGTAATAATGCAAGCTACCGATCTGTCCATTTCCAGGCCCCAAAGAGAGCAGCAAGTTAAACCATGAATTCACAATCTGCACGCATCTCTCTCCTCCTTAGTTCTCTGCCTTTTTGGATTCTTCCTTGGGTGCCTCAGGAACCAGGATGACCTTTCCAACATTCTTCTTCTCTTGCATGTGTTTCATGGCATCTGCCACCTGGAAACAGTGGGAATCTCGTGAAACTACCTACAGCCACCCCACAGTGCAGCCAGGACCCCCCCAGACCTCCTTGGTCCACCCAAAGACAGGGACATGCAGAAGGCAGCTCTCCCTGTAGCAACTCTGCACAGATGCATTTTGGACAGAGCTAGCATTTGCAGAACCCTTATGCATTTATATCTGAACAGTTCTCAGGTACTAATACCAACTGATTCTCAAGCTCTTTCCTCTTCTGCAATAACTCCTACCCCAGCAAGTAATAATATAATAAACTGACTCTGCTTGGACAACATGGAGCATGGCAGAGCTGCTGGGAGAGCTGCAGCTTTTCTTCCAACATTCTGCTTCAATGTCTCAGCCCCCTTCTGTCCTGGAGGCCACTGTCCTGGTTTCAGCTGGGACAGCTGTTTTTTTCCTCATAGTGCAAAGCATAATACTGTGTTTTGGCTTTGGGAGAAAAACAATGTTGATAACACAGCAATGGTTTAGTTGTTGCAGAGCAGTGCCGTACAGAGCCAAGGACATTTCAGCTTCTTGTACTGTCCTGGCAGCAAGGGGCTGTGGGAAGCATAAGGAGCCAGGAGGGTACAGAACCAGGACAGCTTACCCCAACTGGCCAAAGGGATATTCCAAACCATATGCCATCATGCAAAAACAACTAAAACCAACAACAACAACAAAACAAAACATAAAACTGAGAGGACTTGGTCAAGGGGAGGAGACCCACTCAGGGACTGGTGGGCATCTGTTGGCAGGTGGGAAGCAGCTGTTTTGTGCATCACTTGTTTCGTAAGTACATTACTACATGATCATCACTATTGCTATTCTCCTCTTCTGTATTATATTGTTTCTATCTCAACCCACAAGTTCTACTTTGTTTTTTTTTGTTTTTTTTTTTTTTGCCACTTCCAGCCTGATGCACAGCCCAGTCCCTCCACAGGTACACACTGTGCAGCTGAGCACTTGCCCCATCCCAAAGGGACATAGTTTGGCATTGTGCAGCGCTGTGCACTGGAGCACGAGAGCCCATCTACTTCAATGTCTTAAAAGAAAAAAGTGCACTAACTCTTTGAGAACAGATGGCTCTTAGAATTGTCCAGACACTGTGAACAAGGTGCTCACTCTGAAACAGAGCTCCCTGTGCAGAAATCTCTTAGGGCTTTCTGTCTGCCTTCATGCTAGCTCAGACTCACCTGATCGAAAGACCATACAGAGTCTATTTTGGGCTTGATCTTTCCTTGATTGTACAGGTTAATCAGCTTGAGTAGAACATCTGTGATAAGTTTGTATTCTTCATCCATATTTCCAAGATCGTACCCACACACAGCCTTATTATGGTGCAGAAGCTGTATGGCATTGATGCTGAACTGGTTCCACCAAGTTTTAGCCATGGCCACAAGGTTCTTCTTCTGCCCAGTGATCAGGTTTGATACCCCTAAGAAGAAGACAAAGCCTTGGATGAGCTGGGATCAGCACAGAGAGGTAGTGAGCACCCCGTGCAACAGGATCTGGAGCATCAGCATGAATATATTGCAAAAACATAGAACTCCTCCTTCTTAGGAAGACAGTAGTGGTTGCAGCTGAGCTGAAGCCCTAGCAGAGGCAAGAAGGGAGTTGCAAGTCACAGCCAGCAGGGCTGCTGGGACAGCAGCACTCCCCCTCTCCTACAGACAACCTTTGCCAGGGAAGCCAAATGCTGCTTGCAATGGCTGGGACAGAAGCAGTACTCTGCTGCAAGTGTCTGGAATCCTACTGGAGGCTGTGTGAGGGCTTTGTCTCCAGGG